GCTGGCGGATGGTAAGAAAAAATGCCCCAAAACACGTTTTCAGAGCTCCGAGCCACCATTTTTTTTGCTGTATTTATTTATTTGTTTTAGTTTTTTATAAAAAAAAAACTCAAATTTATATAATACATATACTTATGTATCTGTGGCAAAGACACGTACGCCTACAGTTTGGGGGAATGGTTAACTAATTTTTAATTTCCTTTTTTATGCTTTTCTTGCTCTCGACTTTTTGTTGTTTTTTTTATTTCATTATTTTGGCATGATCTCATGTTTGCTTTTCATGTGTGAGTGACGGCAACCAATCCCACTTTGCCTCCATACGAAAGTATCTGTGAGATACATATATATGCTTTCCGTGTAGCGGTCTCCAATGATGATGTGCTGCTGCCCACTCGATCATCATGGTAATAATGATCGCCAAGATCGCCAGCAATCTCAGCCAACTGGCCAGTGGGCCGAGTAGATACTTTTGTATCTTTTTCTTATTTTTGTATCCACTCCCCACCTCTATTGTCTCTTGTATCTGTTAATGTCTTTCCTCTCTGTCTTTTTCGTTTGGCGAGGGCCATTTTGATGGGTCCCGTGTGAGTCGGCGTTGTTAATGATCTGAAAAGCCAATTTCCATCAGAAACTGTAGAGGAAATTAACAATAGTACTATGTGGCTGTGGTCTTAGATATCTAAAAATATGTTTAAAAATTGTAGAAAATGGTTTGAAGTAGCTTGCAAATGTACAAAACTTATAAAAGATACATGTTTTCCTAATAGTTAAAAGTAAGTAAGTTAAAACTTGGGTTTTTCAATGGAAATGAATTCAAGAACCAAGAAATACAAGTACATTGAGCTCTTTAGATCTCTAATTACATTTCTTACTGTTATACCATATATTTAATATATTAAATAGCAATTTAAATATTTAAATCGTAGTTTATTTTGTGGCAAATTATAATTATTCAAAAATCAACAAGTTTTGAGTCTCGCAAGCCTATCTCGATCTCCTTAAACAAACACAACTTTGCCTTAAATGCGCAACGTTTTAAGTAGCGTTTTTTTTTAGACGTTGCCACTAACTAACACGAACTGACTAACTTAGCTAAAGAGAGCAGTCAATGTTCGATTGAGCGAGAGCCAAAACACTCATGAGTGTGAGTATGAGTATGCGAGTGCGAGTGCGAGTGTGAGAAACACCCTGTGAAAGTATTCCCGATGATGATTATTATTATTTGCCATTGGCACACTCGTCGTATCTCGGAATGCGCAACGAAGTTGAACCCGAAGGCGACCCGAGCACCGTTTCTCCCACACACGAGCGACACGAACGCAAGCGAGAGGGAGCTACAACGAGCATACGAGCAACGGGGCCGAGCAGGCAACAACCCGAGTGCAACTTCAGAGCAACTTCATTTCTTCAACGAATGCCGAAGGTGGCGGAGCTAACGTCGCTCGCTAACGGAAAGATCTTTGCTATATAGTACGTGCCAGTGGAAATCGCTCATACGCCGCCTGGTCCAAGTGCCCGTCTATCGTTCGGTTTATCGCACTCGCCCGGAGGCCAATTTTTAAGAAATCATCAGTTGGAGAACAACATTTAAAAAAACTTACTTGCTGATTGTCGCGTGGAATGAAAACAATGTCAACATCCATACTACGATATGCGCATTAGTTTATCGCCAGTGCCGCCCGCGAGTGTTGAAGCAAACGACGAGAGTGTGCTCACAAAATTAATTGCCATTAATTCGCAAAAATATGTGCTAAGAATTTGCGACGGTGTGGCAGAATATATTATTTCGCTGGCGAACAAAGTGTGAATTGTGTGATCAGTGGAATTCCCGCGAAAATAAACCACAATTAACGATCGAAACTGAGGAATATAGTACTTAAAAGTACTTACGCCCCCATAAGTCAGTCCCCCTGATAGTTAGCTAGCTCTTGCTTGGCAAACTGGGACTTATCAATCGTCCAATTGATTAGGGCCCGCATAAACCCACAAAAACAGCCCAAAATCTGTGGCTGACAGTGCAAAAATTAAAATATATTTATACATGAGTTTGGTACCCACACCAACAACACAAAAAGTGAAGTGAAATCAATTTTAATACGACTGCAAGTACCACCAGCATAATATCAGATCCCCTGATCCCTTGTCGAGAGTTGACACAAAACACACAGAGGCCCGATCCCGCAGTTTCCATTGAGCAGCGTCAATGACGCGACCTTTGACCAGCGAGGTGGAGTTTCCGTTTTTGAGAATCGATCAACTTGAAGCAAAGAAATGCCGCCCTCTGCGTTTTTAGTGAATGCCACCATAATCAGTGCCGCCAACGCCTTGGACAGCGACAAGGAGCAACTGCAGCAGCAACTGCAACAGCAGCAGCAACATCAACTACATCAGCAACACTTTACCAGCAGCAGCAGCAGCAGCAGCAACAGCAACTACAATTACAAACAGGGCAACATGGTCCTGCAAAGCTATGAAAATTATCCCAGCTATCATCTGGCGCAACATCATCACCATCATCCGCATCATCACCTGCACTCGCATCCGCATCCGCATCCGCACCAGCAACTGGGACAGCAGCAGACACTGCATCACCACCAACTGCAACAGCAGCAGCAGCAACAGCAGCAGGCGACACAGCAGCAGCAACATCTACCGCAGCTGCAACAGCAACATCATCAGCAGCAGCAGCAGCACCAGCAGTCGCACTATGGATCCGCGGATCATCATCGACTATCCGGCGGCAGTACGGGCAGCACCACAACCACCTCCTCCGGCTCCAGTTCGAGTGGCTCAACGTCCAGTGCCTCATCGCAGGGTTTCGCGGGGAGCAGTGCTAGCAACTTGGTTGGAGCTCTGAGCAGCTCCACGGCTGCATCACTCGGTCTGGGCTACTTCAATGACATGGCACCCTTCGGGGGCGATGGCAGTGCCTACTACACGGACTCGGATGTCAACTTCTTTAGCACAGGTCAGCAAATATTTACCGACATCAAATGGAGGACATTTTAATTACGCCAGGCTGTTGGGGTGTGAAGAGCAGTAAACCAGAAGAAGCGCTAAAGCATAATTAAATTCGTTTGTAATTCGTTTTTAAGTGTTTGAAGCGACAGCAACAGCAACAGCACGCAACAAGTTGGGCCAGAAAAAGGGGGTTGGAGATGGGTTGGAGATGGAGCTGGAGCTGGGGTTTGGGTACGCAGATTGACCTGGTAGTGATAAGTGCCTGGCAATTAAGTGGCTTGTTTGCGCTTGGGGTTGGATTGTGAGGCGGCGGCATCCAAAGATGCTTTAGCTGCAGATACAAATACACAGATGTATCTGTATCTGAGGTTTGTCTTCTAGCTCTTTCTCTCCTCTCCCTCTCTCTCTCTCTCCTTCTGCCTCTCTGGAGGCGGCACCTAAAGAGGCGCTGCCAACTCTTTGGCCAGCCAATATAGCTGTAGATGTAGCTGTATCTGTATCTGTATCTGTATCTTTGTATCTGCGCAGTACAGGCGAATGGGAAGCGTAACGAAAGCTTCACATTTCTTTGATGTGCCAGAGCAAGATAGCCTCATAGGGGGGGCAGCTGCATGTGTGTGTGTGTGTGTGTGTGAGCTCCAACAGGTTTTCGTTGTTCGCCTTTTTTTTTGTCGTATCCCACAGATACTTGTTCGAAATGTGTTAAATTTCGCTGTGTTCGCAATTAATGTGCACTCACACTCTCACACAAAACATTAGATGTGGGCATGTGTGCGTGTGTATCTGTGTGCTGGAATTGCGATTGTGTGCGCTGTGATTTTGATTGGTTTCCGAACTCTCTCTCTCTCTCTTTTCGTACGCTCGATTGAGGGCCGCCCCATTTTCATTTCAATTGCTAAATAATCCGTAATCAATGTGTTTCGGTGGCGTGTGAAATATCGAATTATTAGGAATTTTTGCCCGTGATAATTTCCATGATTATTTCTGTGTCTAATTGTCATTTTTAGGTGCAAATACGATTAATCGTTGGGTTAAATATTAGCAAATTAAATCACATAGTATTTGCGAATATGATCAAGCTAATAATTACTCACTTATTTCATACTATATTTGAGGATTGGGGAATATAAAATGAGTTAAATATAATTTTTAAGGCTAATTTCAAGTTCAAAATTAATGCCTTAAGGCGTTGTTTGGTTTTATAAGTAGTTGAAAATATCAAAATCATTAAAAGTGACTCTCAAATAATTGTGGAAATGACAAAGAAAAACCAAAGTCTTGGAAGCAACTGTTTAATTAAATTTAACCTTCCATTAGTTAGCCTCTAAATAAATTAAAATTTTAAATATTAAATAATGAGAAGGGACAGTAACTTCGGGAAGACTTAGTTTATAAACCCATGCAGTTTGCAATTTAATTATAGGATTGAATCGAAAATCGTTCATAACTGAGCTACAAATATTCGAATTCTCTGAACTGATGTTTATTGATATTTTTATAGGACAATTTTTTTGGTTTTACAAATCAAAGTTTAAAAATCGCATAACTAAGCCAAAAAAGAATTAATTTTAAATCGGAAAGCTTTTTTATTAGGTTAGTAAATCTGCAAAATGTAAAAAAATAAAATCTTTAGTCAAATATTGTAAATTTTAACGATGTAACCTCTTATAAAATCTTTAAAATCTTTAAAAAAATAAATTTTAGTCGGACATGTCTAAATCGACTCGCATGTTAATGCTGATGCAGAATATATATGACTTATAGGGTCGGAAATGACTCCTTCACAGAGTTTCATGCTTTTTACTGAAATTATAATACCCTCTGCAAGGGTATAACAAGCTATGAATCCTACCTCTTAAATATTCCCATTTAAAATATATCTAATTTATGACCACTACATGTTGTCCCTTATTAAATTGTTTGATTCTAGTTAATATTTAAATACAGATTTCCCATATCCCCCCAAACCACCATCTCCATTACACCCTTGTTTTGTATGAATATAAAATCTAATCGAAATGTTCTTCTTTTAATTTCAGGCTACAGCAGCAATGCACATGATCGCAGCAACAACAGCCCGCCTCCGCAGCAATCGCAGCAGCAACAGCAGCAGCAGCAGCAACCCACTGTCAATGGCAGTGGCGGTGGCAACAGCAGCAGCAGCGGCAACAATAACTCCATGCTGCCGCCCGCTGTCCAACAGGGCAACAACAATAACAACAACAACAGCAGCAGCAACAGCAACAGCAATAACAACAACGAAAGCAACACCAGCAGCAACACGAATAGCAGCAACAATGGCAGCAACAATGCCAATGCGGGCAGCAATAATAACAATAATAACAATAACAACAACAATAATATTAACTACATGGCCGCAATGGCGGCCATCTACCAGCAACACCAGCTCAAAGAGGAGCCGGGCACCCAGAGCAGCAATGGTAACGGGAGCAGCGGCTACGGTGGCAGCAACAGCCAGAACGATCCCACGGATCTCAGCAGCTACGGCCTGCCCGCTCACCTGGCCTACAGCACCAGTGGCAGTGGACCAGCAGGTGGCGGTAGCTCCGGCGGCGGCGGCGGCGGTGATGATAGTGATTACCACAGCACACAGGAGCATCATAGCCAGGCCTCCAGTGGAGCGAATGGCAGTGGAGCTGGCAGTGGCAACGGAAGTACGGGCAATAGCAATGGCTACATGGACAGTGGGTCTGAATTTTATGCCTACGGACGAGGACGATTCCACGATGGCTATGGCTCGGATTTTCAGCCCTACGATGCCCAATCCTTTCAAGCGATGAGCGCCCAGTCGTCGGCCATGGATCAGTGGGGAGCAGCGCATGCCCATCAGCATCCGGCGGCGTATATGTCCACCCTGGGACTGGACAAGGGTCTGCTGGGTGGCTATACAACGCAGGGTGGAGTGCCGTGCTTCACGGGCTCCGGACCCATCCAGCTGTGGCAGTTCCTGCTGGAGCTACTGCTGGACAAGACGTGCCAGAGTTTCATCTCATGGACGGGCGATGGCTGGGAGTTTAAGCTTACGGATCCCGATGAGGTGGGTTTTTATATATTGATAATAATATGAGGAATAGCTAACTTACGTTTTATAATTCTTTTTCCAGGTGGCTCGTCGCTGGGGCATAAGGAAGAACAAGCCCAAGATGAACTATGAGAAGCTAAGCCGAGGTCTGCGTTATTATTACGACAAGAACATTATCCATAAGACGGCCGGCAAGCGATATGTCTACCGCTTTGTCTGTGATCTCCAGAATCTAGTTGGGTAAGTTCAGAATTCTCTCAACTCCATTTACAAAATACTAATTAAAGTATTCTAATCCATTTTACAGACACACCCCCGAGGAGCTGGTGGCCAAGTATGATCTTAAGATTGAGAAAAAGGATGTGGACTAGCGACGGGGCAGCAATGAAGCTGCCTAAATCGGGAGACGTTCCAGGAGACCTGCCTCTGACTCCCAGCCACGGATTGTACTCAACCAACCGCAAAATACTTTCGAGCGTTATTTGTTTACCAAGCGTGATGTTAGCCTTTAAGCAGCAGCCCCGATCTGCGATCTTGCTACGAGATTAAAGTGTTCCCGACTCCAAATCCAAGTCCACAAACCCCCTAAATCCCACCCATATGTCACACCAATTTGCTTGTAATTATCGTGTAAAAATTAGACTTTTAAATTAATTTGAAATTAATTTAAAATACTTGAACGTTAGCCCTAAGTTTATTTAGCATTGTAAGTCGTAAATCAAATAGGAACACAGCAAGAGAACCAGTTGAAAATCAAAGGAACGAAAAAGGAGAATAAGAATTAAATTTTGGAATTCTGTGTGCAATGTGATGATTCCCTCGTTCTCACATAGTATGTAGAAGAGGAGTCTCTCTGCTCTGCTGCAAGAATCGAACGTTGATAGAGGCCATAAAGCAAGCATTGTGTCCCCAAAGTGATATTAGAGCGCAACATTTTGTTATATGTACGTACATAATCATTTTACCCGCACGGGGCACCACAGAAGCAACATTTTAACATTTCAAGATCATGCGTGTATATAGCAATGACGACGATGATGATGATGATGATGATGCCTGTGGCGTATCAGTAGGTCTCTAGTATTTATACAAAAAATTAATCTGTAATCTGTGCTACAACTAAGTTTTCCCCACTTCCACAAAGCCACCTCCACTATGTACTCCTGTGTACTCACATCTTGTGCGCTTCCGTGCGATCCCAAAAGTTTTAAACATACAAAAGGGTGTACAACAGTCGCAACCATATCGATATGGACGACCTTGTGCGACCGATGAACTCTTGTTAGTCTATGTGTACTTGTAGGTTACCTTACCCCCTAGCCCTAGCCGTAGTCTTCTAGTGCGCCGAGAGCGCTAAGTTATTCGACAGTTTGTCTGATGAATGATGTATGGTGTACGATGTCTGATGTATGATGTGTGATGTGTGTATAGCTATTAAATATATAAGTCTAGCTGGTAGATGCTTAGCCACGTACAACACGCATAAACGTAAAGTTTTATTGATACATAGAAAACACATACTTACGTTGTAGAGCAATTCTAAAATATTGTATTTATACAGGCGTAAAATGTAATATTAAAGCTACCATTAACATTGCTAATGATAAAACACAATAAAACGAAAAATCTATATGAAAATACAACAGAAATTCGTTTGTATTTTCCAGTTTAATGTTTACAGATTACGTTACCTTTTTTCAGTTTTCGCTTGTTGAAAGATAGATAAAATATAAATTTTGGTGTATCGATATTTTAAATATTAAACAAAATGCGAATATTATTATTAAAAAAAACTGTGACCATGTGAGTGGATATGAGATGACAAAGAATGGTTCCAAGCTCTCGACCTGGACATACTAGGTACGCTTTTTCTTACCTTTATAATGCCATTGAATAGATTTTGTTAATTTTTTCTTAACTCTTTATTATCTTCATATAGACAAAACAATTTAAGATAAAAATACCTACTCCAGCATCATTGCTGGGAAATACCTGAGCTCTCTATCGCCTCGAAGACCTTGAGAGACGAGTAGACATAGGCGGCGCGACGAAGATCATTGCAGAGCTCAAACTTATTGGCCATTTGCTTGATCCCAATGGCCGCCGACTCCATGACCGTCTGGAGAGCTGAGTCCACTATGTCCGCCTCCGTGGTGCACTCGCGTATCCTCGTCAGCTTCTTGTTGGGCTCTATTTGTGGCTGAAACGAAGAGAAGGTAAATGTACACATTAATTATTAAAAGATTCAAGGGATTAACTCACAATGGCGGAGTCCGGACATCTCTGAAACGACTCGTTGATGGAATTGATCAGCTCGTGGATGAGCTCGGAAGTCTTCTTGGAGTTCATTTTTCCGTAGGACACGTGATTGATGTTTTTCAAATACTCAAAATAGGAGACAGTTACTCCACCCGCATTGCAGTAGAGATCGGGCACCAGGAGCACACCCTTCTCCAGAAGGATCTTCTCACCAGCGGGGGTTGTGGGTCCATTCGCACCCTCCAGAATCAGTTTGGCCTTGATATTACCGGCATTCTCGTTGGTGATCACCTTCTGGGTGGCGCAGGGCATAAGGATATCTGTGTCAGCTGTCAGCAAATCCTCCGTTGTCTCTTGGGCTTTAGGATATCCCTTGATAGTCTTCTTCTCAGCCACATAATCGAAGAGTTCCTAAATATTTAAATCGATCTCAGAGTTACCTTCAAGGATTCAAATTGAACCCGCTACTTACAGTTATATCAATGCCATCTGGGTTAACAATCGATACATCGAACTCCTTGATCCCGATTATTTTCGCCCCTGCCTCGTGCACAAACTTGGAGGCAAAGGAGCCAACATTTCCGAAGCCCTGAACAATGACTCTCTTATCCTCCCAGCCGGTTTTAAATTTAATCAGGTCCATCCATTCCTTGTCCTTTAAAAAGAGATCTCCCGCCTTCCACACGCCCCTGCCTGTGGCCGAATTTCGACCATTGATGCCGCCAATGTGAACGGGTTTCCCCGTGGTAATGGCCGCCGAATTGATGTCCTTGTAGCCAAAGGTCTTCTGGTATTGATCCACGATCCAGGCCATCTCCCGTGGACCAGTATTCATATCGGGCGCGGGTACATCTACCCCAGGTCCAATCATATTGCGCTTAAGCAGCTCCATTGTGTATCGTCTCGTAATGGTTTGTAGCTCATCCACAGTATAGTTCTTGGGATCGATACGCACCCCGCCCTTGGAGCCACCATAAGGCAGGTTGACGCAGGCGCATTTGAAGGTCATAATCGAGGCAAGTGCCTTGACCTCGTTCTCGTCCACGTCCATGGCATAGCGGATGCCTAAGAGCCGGAGGAAATGAGTCAAGATTCATTCGGAAGCACTGCATCCCAAAGAAGAGGCAGGAAAATTGATACTCACCTCCCTTAAGGGGCAATTTGTGGCGCACATGGTGTGAGCGATAGCCGGTGATGATCTCATAGGTGCCATTCTTGCGCACAATGGGAAAGTTAACCTCCACCGAGGTGGATACACTTCCAATTAGATTAAGGATTGCACTGACCCGTGCCTGACGCTCCTCCACCTTCATGTGCGGATACTTTTCCATCTCCTTAATCAACTCCGGCTCCAGCGTCTGCGCAGCCCTGTGGTAGTAATAGAGCACCATGGCCGAGAACTCGGGATCCTTGTCTGTCTCAACCTGCTTCAGGCGCTCGGGCATTTGGTGTTGGAAGCGTTTCCACAAACCCATTCGGACCCCGCTTCTACGCCTGCGCAGAACCGCTACCAGGTGGCGAAACATATTTTAGTAAAAAAAAGAGGTGTGCCAATGGTTAAAAGTTATTGATAAATTTTACTTAAATAAGATAGATACTTTGGTTTTAGTTTAAGGTAGAAGTATTTTGATTAGAGTACTACGTTTTTTTTTATTTTGTTTAATATACCCTTGCAGGGTATTATTATTTAAATCAGAAGTTTTAAATGCAGTGAAGGAGTCATTTCCGACCATATAAAGTATAAATACGTATATATTATTGATCATCATTAACAGGAGAGTCGATAAAGCCACGTTAGTGGCTTTGTTTCGAGGCAAACTATTTTCTCAGTTTCGAAACTATCTTAATGAAACTAGTTAGTAATTTATCTTTATACATTCACAAATATATAAATTGAAACGGGTCGGATCGAGCGACTATATCATATAGCTGGAATAAGAACAATCGAAAAACTATTGAAAAAAATTATAAGTTTTCAAGTTTTTAACATATTTTCATCTATATGGATGCAAAGCCTTTTTATATTATTTTCGGTATTAATTTTATCAAAATCGGATGACTATATCATATAGCTTTCATAAATATGATCGTTAAATGTATGCCAAACTCTCCATCTCCCACTGGCTACCTCTAGAGGTAACTCTTACTCTCTGCCACTCTCTGACATTCTCCAGAGGTAACTCTTTCTCTAGCGCGCGCTCGCTCTTACACTCTCTGTTATTCTCTTTGCTCTGACGCTCTGGAACTATAAATAGAGGCTCAGCCCGCCGCTCCGGCTTCAGTCTGTTCGTGGTCCTCGCAGTGTTAACACCTATAGTGATAGTGGGAGTGATAGTGATTAACCAACGGCCTCAAAAATATGACGTGGCCTATGGAACACATCTGGATAACCTGGATGAAGCTTACTTCGATGATGCCAAGAATATAACTCTACACCGGAAGGATGACGTGTCTCTATACTGCGGTAAGTCTTAACCATGACAATTATATTATCTTATAAAGATGCTATAGGCGGGATATGGCCTCTTATTTCCCGATTAATTCCCCTATTGCCATCAATTTTATGACTTAATTGTAATATAAAGTGACACAGCATAATGAAGCAATGCCACACTATATTAACCTATATATGTTATATCAACAGTTTGTGATATTTTTATTTTCCTGTACATTTACCGATTGTTTCTATGTATGATATATCCAACCGATTTGCACACAATTAAAATTGAAATACAGATTATGATTATTAGATGAAAATATGTCGAACAAGAGGAAAGTAATAATATTTACACCCTTGCAGGGTATTACCATTTCAGTCAGAAGCCTCAAACACAGTGAAGGGATCATTTCCGACCCTATAATATATATATATTCTTGATCAGCATGGGCAGTCAAGTCAATCTAGCCATGTTCGTCTAAAAAAACAAATTAAAACTTATCCAGTTTTCATAATATTTTCATCTATATGGATGCAGAGGTATTTTATATTATTTTCGGTATTAATTCTATCAAAATCGGATGACTATATCATATAGCTTTCATTAATATGATCGTTGAACGTATGCCTAACTCTCCATCTCCCACTGGCTACCTCTAGAGGTAACTCTTACTCTCTGCCACTCTCTGACATTCTCCAGAGGTAACTCTTTCTCTAGCGCGCGCTCGCTCTTACACTCTCTGTTATTCTCTTTGCTCTGACGCTCTGGGACTATAAATAGAGGCTCAGCCCGCCGCTCCGGCTTCAGTCTGTTCGTGGTCCTCGCAGTGTTAACACCTATAGTGATAGTGGGAGTGATAGTGATAGTGATTAACCTACGGGCTCAAAAATATGACGTGGCCTATGGAACACATCTGGATAACCTGGATGAAGCTTACTTTGATGATGCCAAGAATATAACTCTACACCGGAAGGATGACGTGTCTCTATACTGCGGTAAGTCTTAACCATGACAATTATATTATGTATGTATGTATATATCTATATAGATATAGATGCTAAGGAGTGATCAGGCTTAGGTCTATAATCAGTTGTGATAGCTATGCATTTAGTTCTTAATTAACTCCCTTATTAATATTATATAAAGTCTTCAGATTAGATGAAAATATGTTAAACAAAAACAAAGTTATAATTTTTATACCCCTTCAGGTTATTATCATTTTAGTCTAAAGCTTCAAATATTTAAGGAGTCGTTTCCAGCTATATAAAGTATATATATATTTTTGATTAGCATGAACAGCCAAATCGATCTAGGCATGTCTGATAGGAAAAAATTTTTAAAATTTTTTCAAAATTTTATTAAGGGTAATTTTGTTAAAATTTTCAAAATTTTACAAAAAAAAAATTCAATTTTTTTAAATTATAAAACGCAATACACTGATTTGTTAACCTTTCAAAAACTAGCCCAGAAAAGTTTATCGAATTAAAATCAATGAATTTTTGATTTAGTTATAATATATTAAAAACTTGGATTCACCCAAACAAATTAGCATTTGAAAAAATAGCTTAATTCTTTTTTTTTTATTATTAAATTTCCCTTGAGAAAATTCACTTTTTTCTTCATCACATGGCCTTGAATTTGAAATCACATTTTAGTGGACATTTCGATTGGACAAAGATTTAGAAATTCATTGGATACAGAGGCGCGGGACACGCAAATACATAAAAGGTTACTCGTTCCTTTCCCTTAGAAAAACCATCCACGAATACCTTTTTTTGTATATTAAATTTAAGATCTATAAAAGAAAATCGAAATGGAGGAAATCCAGCCTTTCGATAAGGTTGGCTTCTTGGAGAGCTATCTGCTGAAGCACAAGGAGCTGGGCAAGCGCCAGCGCGAATACAAGAAGATTTTGTCCAGCAAACTCAAGACCCGCAAGGAGACCATCATCGAGGCCAGCTATGAGACGGCCAACGATCAGCTGGAGGAGGAGAAGAACGACCTGAGGGCCCAGATCTGGGTGGCCAGTGGTACCACGCACAAGAAGAACAATGAGCGCTGCCTAGAGCTGATCCGTTGCCATGTCGAGTGCCAGGAGAATCTCTCGCAGGACATCAATTCACTGAAGACCTCCATCCTGAACATGGAACGTGAGACGAGCCGGATGGCCAAGCAAATCTACAACCTGAACCGGCTAACAATTCCCGACCAGCAGCACCAGGCCTATGTGATGAAGGCCCGCAAGCGGTTGAATATCTTGGAGAATTCGTTGGAAGTAGGAATACGACAGGAGTGTGGCTTCACTGCGGCCAATGCAGAGTTAAGGGAGCAGCTCATTCGCATCCTTAATCATCGCACCTTCTTCAACGAATCGTACACCAAGATGGTGCAGAAACTCAACAGCGACAAGAAGTACCTTTTAGATCTTATTGAGTACGCTGTGAACACCTTCGATGGCTGCATTGAGGTCTACGAGAAGATCGATATGCTGGCCAAGCGGGAGACCAAGGAGCGAGAGCTGAGACGTGTGGAGATGCAGGGCATCATGCGAAAGGTGGCCGCCGACGGGGACAACAGTGCCTTCCTGCAGTGCAAGTCCAAGGTCAGGGAGCTGGCCGATCTACAGCCCAAGGAGTACAAGCGACGAGATGAGTTCCGACGCCTCCACAACAAGAAGATCAATCTATACAACTCGGTGCTGCAGAAGATCCTGGCGTACACCGACTCCAACAACGTTGACGAAGTGATCGAGAAGTTCCAGCAGCAGGAGAGCCTCTACTACTCCTTCTTCAACTATGCCAACGAGATGAGCTATCACATCACACTGCTGAATAACTCGGTGAATCGCCTCTTCGAGGACATTGTCGCCTTGAAGAAGGACAACTCGAATACGCTGCAGGACCAGCTGGATGAGATTGCCAACCTGGAGGCCAAGGTGCGTGACAAGGAGGAATCCAACATGGAATTGCACAAGGCCAGGGAAAGCAACGATGCCCGACTTGAGAACCTCTTACAGGGAGTGGAAACTGTCTGTGAAATGTGCTCCATCGATGCCTCCCCGCTGTCAAAATTGCTTGGGGATCACACCCACGTGAACTTGGTCAACGTAAGCCGCTTCCTTAAGATACTCGAGGTGAGGGTCCAGGAGCTGACGGCCAGCGTGTATGTGACCCAGCGCCAGGAGACGGGCAACTTCGATTACGTGGTCAAGCAGATCGAGAAGGTCTGTGAGCTGCCCACTGATCTCAACGATATTGTGCTCACCCAGCAGTGTCCCGAGTGCGCCGAGGGTGAGGCCTTCAACATGGATGAAGGCGGCGACGGCGTTTTGGTCCACACCGTTACCGAGGCCAAGAGGAAGCTATACGAGAAGGTCACACAGCCGGAGATGCAGTACCGCCTGCATAGCATCAGTCAGTGCCGACTGCCACGTTCCCGTCTCCTGGCCGCTAAGCGAAATATGTAGATCCTTGATCAAGGATCAAGAGTGCAGCTTCTATAGAAGCTTTATTCACAAATCTAGCAAGGGATCATGCACTCGTTTTCTATTTCAGACTGATATGATCCCTTTTTATGTCCAGGTATCCATTAAGGATATCTGATGCTTTAAATTCTAAATATTCTCGGTTACAATTATAATAAATTTCAAACTTATGCTGGATAAAGTCAAATTTTAAACTTCAGGAAACGATATTTGAAGAGTAGCCAACACTGCGTATGCGTGATATGTGAAATATTCTGCAAGCACTGAAGAAAATAGGAAGTTCACATGCAATACTTTAAATTATTTGTTATTAAAGGAATTTAAATTACCCTTTCCCGCCCTAATTAATATAAAAATATATATATTCAATTCATGCTAGTATTTTTATTGATTAAATCTAAAACATATCAACTAAAGATTCATATACTGTTGCTAGATGTTTGGTATGTGGAATGCATTAAATATTTTCGGAGAGATGGTGATCGTACGTAGCTAGTAGTTTCTGTGGCCAAGTTCTATTTTGTTTAGGAGCTGGTCTTCTCCTGCTCTTCACCCAAGCCCAAGCCGCTGATTAGGCCGCCCAGGAAGCTGTCCACAATGGGATTGCCACTGCCAGCAGCAGCACCAGCGCCAGGAGCGACTCCAGGAACAGGAGCCGGAGCGGGAGCAAATGGAGCAGCATTGGCAGTTCCACAATCGTACATGCGGTTGAGTTTCTGGATATCCATTTCCGAGAAGCCATTTCTCTGACCCATCTTCTCTGCGCCATTGGCTTGCTGCAAGGAAAGCAATTAAATTAAAAAGGATTAAGGGAATAAAATACCACCAAAGGACTCACCATGGCCAAAATAGTGGGCTGACCGTTGATGGAGAAGGCATTCTTGGAGTAGTGCATCACACTGCCGTAATCATAGGGCACTCCAAAGGCCTCAGTGCGGGCGGCCTTCTCGAAATTATTCATCGCCGAGGACTGGACGTTGTTATACTGGATAGCCACATAACCATCACGTTCCATGCGATTCTGTTCATGCAGGAAGCCCAGGGCATGCATCAGCTCGTGCATGGCGGTACCGGGACGGCTAAGGCACCCAGGGGACTGCAGATTCACCTCCTGCTTGCCACCCACACGACCCACCGAGGACCAGCAGCCCGAGTTGTCGCCTCGAATGGAGATGTAGTCCCGCTCCGAGCTGCGACGCACAAAGCGAATGCAGGTGCGACGATGGTACTCGGCAATGGCATTCTCAATGGTGGCCATGTCGCGGGCATTGAAGCTGCCACGGATCTCGTAAGGGACAACGCCATTGGGCCACCGGGAGGACTGAGTGGGCAGGCCATTCTTCATGATCAGATCCGTTTGGGGCACCAGCATATCACCCTCCAGATAGGTGCCCAGCTCCTCGGGATTCATCTCATCCGTGTCGGCACTAAAGTTACCCACCAGAGCGGCTGTCATCTCCTCATCCGGTTTGCCAAAGAGAGCTGTGCCCAGCGGTGTGAGATCAATGATGTCCTGGCCCAGTTTCGGAGGCGCCTCCTCGATTCCTGGCAACTCCACTACTTCCGTGTCATCCTCGTCATCGTAGGACACAAAAGGAAAAGCCTGGCAGGTGCTTAAAGCCAGAGCTAGGACTAGATATACCTTTGGATTCATTGCTGGACTTGGAATTGGTTTGTCGGTTTGCTTTCCTCTTGACTGAAGCTAGACTTGGACTGTGCTGGTGTTCTGGTCTGGCTGGGATTTATATATTCCCCAGCATAATCTGGCCGACGTCTTTATCGCCCTTCTGCCAACGCCGGTTGGCGGTGGCTTTCATATGCATAAACAAGTTTTCCACGCGGAAACCTTCGACGGATCTGGAGTCGTCATCGCTGCCGGCTTCTTGGTTTGTGGATTGTCACACGCTTTATGGCCAGGAGTAAATATTTGGCCAGCGCTTATTCATGGAGCTGTGGACTGTTGGCTCTGCTCGGCTATTGCCATAAAGTGTATCAGTAGTTTGTTTGCTTATCCAAAGTTTAACGACACTTAATTCGTAATTTTTCGCCCCCAAAGCGATAACCGATAAGCACTATCGCGCAGGCGACCTCTTCGCTTTATGGATTTATACCGCTCACTGTGCTGAGATATTCTGGAATAATTAGCCGGGGATTTGGAGTGGAAACAGCACACGCGGAACATTTAAATAATTCATGTGGAAATGTCTGATTTTTAGACATGCGAAACGAAAATGGCATTGAAAAAGTTCACTCACAATTTTTGGGGGAGTACGTGCTTTAAGGAAGCAAACTGGGTTTATGTTCCACGTTTATCTTTTCAGAAACAACTTCAATTCCTTGCACAAACTTCAATTACAGCTAATGACACAATTATTACAAACTAACAGAGTGATAGAGAGAGCTTGGCTAGGACCCTCACAAAATATGATTGAAATGAGACTTTTGCGCATTCTTAAATACTAAATATTATTCACATGGCGGCGGCGACTTCAATGGATGCTTGGGGAAAACAGAGAGCCGAGAAAAAAATCCCAAAGACTTCGCTCATTAGCCAGAACAGAAACGAACACATCTGTGTTTGCTCTGGCCACGAATTAGGTTCAAGTGCACATGGCACATGTTTGCCCGGCTAACGAACGAAGATAGCATTGATGATAGTAGAACTATGTTAGTTATATTCCTAGGTATCGAAGCTCATTTCCACCACCATATTGGAATCTGAGGCAGCGTGCTCCTCCTCCTCTTCGAACTTGAGCTTCAGCTTCAGTTTGTCCGAGTTGAGTACACGACGACTGTTTGCCGAAATATTCTTGGCCACATCCCGCAATGCGGCACTGCAGATCTCATCAATGGTAGTGGAATCATCCATAAGGTCCTCTATGCAGCTCTTTAGGATCGTTGAGGTCACAATGCAGTCTCTGTTTAGGGCCAAGCTTTTATGGAACGACTCAATGGCGCTGTCCAAGTTGCCCAGCAGGGCATGAATGAATCCAATGGAGGTGTAGGTCGTGGCATTCTGTGGCTTTAGAAGGAGAGCCTGAAAAGGGTATAATTAATTAACTATTTATATATATATTTGTAGACTTCTCAAGCTCTTACATTTTGAAAGTTATACAGGGCCTCCTCATACTTGTGCACTTTCCGCAGCGAGTGACCCAGGTTGATAAAGAGCGGCTCCCAGCGGGCCGAAATCTCTTCATTATTGGTTTTGGCTCGCTGCTTCACAATGTCAACAGTGCACTGGAAGATAGTAGCTGCGCCGTCAAAGAACTCGTACTCATACTTGATCACACCGAGCTCATGCAGCACATATACGTCCAGGGGAGCAATATTCATCGCCTGCAGGAAGAACTTCTCCGCAAGCTCCAGATTCTTGGTCAGCCCGCACTCTACTCCGATGTAGAGCAAAGGCAGATGGCAACCACGCATCAGCTGGGTGGCCTTAAAGTACGCCGCCATCGCCTGTTCGTGTTCGTTTTCATTGGCAAAGCTATGACCGTAGGCCAGCCAAGCGGGGCCGTACAATCGATCCAAAGCAGTGGCCTTGGATAGATAGCGCCGGGCAGGATCACTTTTCCCAATCATGTCATAATAGCAGCCAACGGCATACCAGGAGATGGCCTTGTCGGGATATCGATCCACTAGCTTGTGGGCCACATAAAAGAGACGATTGAAGTCACCGTTCTCCACCAAGCAGGCAATTTGAATTGTCAGTGCGTTGTTATGGAATGGATCCACCTTGAGTAGCCTGTAAGGACACCGAGATTACACCAAATGAGTTAATTTTCTAGCCTCTTTTTACTCACTCATTTAGTATTTTCAGGCACAGCTTGTAGTCGCAGTCGTAGAAACACTTTTCCGCCTCCGCAGCCATGAGATCTGTGCTGCGTTGCACTCGATTTAGGCAATCTGCGAGGGGAATCAGGGTATCTGCATCGTGATCCCGTGATCGTCTGCGACTCGAGGAATCGAACATGGATCGATGAGAGGCATCAATGAGGGAGGAAGCACGCGACAGGCTTGTTTGCAGCGAGAACGTGGGAGCCTTAAGATCCTCAAGGACTCTTAAACAAAATAAATTTTCGAGTTAATTAGTTCAACTACAAGGACTTCCGAAGAGGACTCACTTCTGGGCGGGCGACATAAACTGGCTGGGAGTAAGCGGCACCTTAAGGGCGCTCACCTTGGGCATTTGGGACTCCGAGGAGCATGTCTGCTGCACCCGCGCCGTAAACTCCTTGATGAACTTCAGCACATCAGGATTGACGATGGGTGAGATCTCCTCGGCGTTGCGAGCGGATATTAGCTCGTAGTACTTCTTTAAACGAGATTCGTAGAGCTTCAGGATGAACTTGGCGTCCGTTTCGCTGGATTGCTGGGCGAGCGGCAGATGGTGCATCAGCTCAAATTCTGCGAAAAGTTTGCTTATTATTTGGAACCCAATAAGAAGAAGCTCACTAATTACCTTCCCAAGCCATCAGCATCTCGTGCTGCACCAGCGCCTCCAGAGCCTCGAAACAATAGATGGATTTGTGCAGGGCCTGTACATAAAAGTCCATGGCCGTGCCGCGGTTGTCAAGGGCCTCGTACACCTTGCCCTTCATCAGGTAAATTGAGGCTAGCAGCTCGTTCCGATGGTTCTCCTCGCCGCCAAAGACACTGTTGCTCTCCAGGTAGCAGCCACTGCCTACGTCCACCGGCTGGTTAATCAGAGAAGTGGCCATCATCTCCACCTCCACGTTCTGAATGACGTTGGCCGCCTCCGCGAACTCCTTTGCCGCGTAAAGGCTCTCGAGCAGCAGATTAAAGCACGGCAGGGAGCTCTTTTCCAGCTTGTTGTGCTGAATGGTGTAGGCAGCTCGGTGGAACTCGCCCAGCAGGAACATGGACTGCGCCTGGTAATAGATATCCCTGGGCTCCTGGCCACTCAGCACCGCCACCTTCTCTGCCCAGAAAAGCGCCGTGGAATAGCGACGCTAAAAGTGCAATTTGAAAGCACTAATCATTACCGGCTTTTTGGTTTGAGTACTACTTACCATGTCTATAAACTGTTTGACCAGTTTCCTGTATATGCAGAGGTCGATGTGGTCATTGGCGGTGTCGGTACTGGTGTTTTCCGCGTCCCCCGGCATTTTAATTTAATATTAATTTTGATTTTTAGTATTAAACAATTTTATTGGAATTTGCAGTCGCTGAGCTAGTAATTTGTCTGGCAACGCTGAAGAATCAGCTGTTTTGCCATTCACACAAAAAGTAAAATATTGTTGCACTGGAAGAAATTAGGCAAGCGCAAAGTTTACAAAACTAATACATGTTGAAAATTAATTATTATTATTATTATTATTATTATTATTATTTTAATACTAACAAAATATAAGAGAAATAAGCTTTCCTAAGTGGTTAAACTTTTTATTTAAAACCTTATAAAATGCAAACAAAATTATGTAGCTAATAGTAAGAGCTGGCGAGTGGGTTCTCTCATAGCTACCATCACAACATTTTTGGCTTGTTTTAGCTTTATTTCGTAAGCTTTTTAAGCTTTTTTACGACCCGAAAAGTTGGCAGCACTCGGCTCAAGTCGGTTCATGTTGAAACCTATAAATACAAGTGCAACCTAGCCATTCTCAAAGAATTTTTTTAAAAACAGTTGCGGGTGTAGGTATTTTAATTTTCAAAAATAAAAAAGTTGTAAACAAATAAACACAACTGTATACTAAGCATTCGCCGGTAGCAATAAAGCAAAGCTTTAAATTTTTTAGATTTATTAAATCATTTTTTGTTTTCGCCAATTAGGAAATTAAAAATACCAGATTTCCCGCTTCGAAGAAATTCCCGACAACAAATATCACGAAATTCAGTTTCTTCCAAGAATTAATATGATTTAGTACTAAACATTGCTTGCAAAAAAATTAAATTTAAATAAATAAGTTAATGGAAAATTAAAGCGGACGATTCAGAAAAAATACATAGTTTATTAACAAACAAAAAAGCAATGCATCCGTGAGACGGAGTTTTTGCGAAGAAGCAGGGGAAGCAGAGGGAGCGACCGAAGAACGGCGAAAGGCGTGCAAGGCAGAAGTAACAGTTCCTGGCACGGCGGAGTGTTCGAGTGTGTGTGTGAGCAGAAGCAGTAGTAAAAATGTGCTTGGCGGACGACAAACTGAACGGGATGCGATTGCGGATGCAGAATTAAAATTAAATTCACACGAATTTATGAGCGAGGCGCGTGTTTTCGGCAGACTCCTGGGTACGTATAGGTGTCATGGGTGTGTGCTGTCTGTGCATGGATGTGTGCCTCTGTGTGTGTGTATTTGGGGAGCCGGCACAACAATTTGTTGACTTAAAATCGGCGTAGAAGTAGGGCCGCGGCTCATTGTCATTCCATCTCGTTCTAGCAGTGCGTATTTTACAACCTGCCCTACGTACTAGTACTAGTATTTGCCGTTGTTCCCTCCTCACGCGTTTTTTTTTTGCTTTTCGGCTCACGTCATCTCTGTGGTAGGAACAACGACAACGTCGACGACGGCAACAACAAGAACAACCAATCGCCGCCTCAACTACACACTTATTCTTACTACCCATTATTATACGCACAGAGAGGGACGGACAGAGTGCGAGCGAGCGCCAGAGAGAGGGAGCACGAGACAGGGCTTGGCATCCATCTCGAAAAGCTGCGATGGAGCCATTTTCCAACTCCAACTCATTTCACGCTGATTTATGGCTCTAATAATAGGTTCGCTCAACACACAGCTTCCGCTATCCGGAGAAAGGATTACCACCCGGAGGATAATGCATAGTTGGTGCGCTTGGAGCCGCAAAACGACGGCTCCAAAGTAAACGCCAGTGGATTACAGTTAATTACAATTGGTGAGAGTGAGAGAGGGCTACGCCTTGATCGATTTACGGCACTTAACGCTCAAATGCGTACGCGTGTGTTTTTTGTGCTCCTGGTGCTCGGTCCACTGATTTGGATCAAAAAAGGAAGACAGTTTGCGGGGGAAGGGGAAACTACAAAGGGCCGGCGAGGCGTACTATCATCCATTATCCATTATTTATTCGAGCTTATGCTAATTGTATGTGTCTGCCTTTCAGGTCTTTGGAAATTTGCATCGTCGACGAGGCGGAATAATGAATCGATGACTATTTACTGCTGATACGGCCACATCTGCCAGCTGTCTTTGGGCCTCTCCTCTCACTCACTCACCCACTCGCATATCCTGTGGAGCCAAAAAACAAAAAAAAAGTCAACCGAAATTCCCCAACAACTATAGCGGCAACGGTGCCCCAGGCTTAGCACGGAATCCAACTCGAACTCGAACCGCAACGAACTCAAACCTGCGCAGGAGATAAGGGAAGAGCGCGAGTGGGAACTTGTGAGAGAGCCAAGTGCGCGAAAGGACTCTCAGCGGGCGGAGGGAGTGGGCCGGCACGACGCGGAAGTGGTGACATCTGTTTTGGAGCTTTGTCAGTTGCGGATGCTGCCGAACACCAACACGAAGGCGGACGAGCAAACGAACCGAGCACCAACACCGACGAGCAGGAGCGCAACGTGAACAAGTGTGGAAATTGGAATTTTTATTCAAAACAATGCCCCTGCTGCAACAGGTATGTAAATAATAATAAAACCCATTCGCACTCCAGAGCGGTAATTGAAACGCTCACGTACGAGTTCGACTGAAGTCGCACAGCGAGACGAAGCGAGGCATAGGGCGAGCGCGAGAGAGGGCTTACATAGATTACGAAGAGAGCGCATCAGCTGTCCCGGCCTTTGGCTCACCTACCCAATTTGGGAGCCGCTACTCGCGGGTGCCTTGGGGGCTGGCTGGATATGATCCTAATAGGATTAGTGCCCAACTTTACGCCTCACTTCTGAGAGTTTTGCCACCTTGTTCGTCCTGCCGTCTGCTTCACATTATGAGTAGTTAAATTCGATTAAACTTGCGGCGTTTTGTCCGCCAGACACTGCAGCGCCTCTCTGTAGTCCTTGTCGCCGGTCCTTTGTGCCGCGGGGGCGGGTAATTTATGGGGCGTAGCTGTGTAATTGTACTCTTTGTTGCGCAAAATAGTTGCGTGATTTAATTTTGCTCGCCTTTATATGTTTTTAATTCACTTAAATGACATGATTCGATTAGGACTCGCAGAGCGAGTAACAAAATAAATGGAGAAAATGCTGGGAAAGCAGAGCAAAGTGGTTATTACACAGCTACAAATAATTTTGTCCTGCTAAAATAGGGATAGCTAGTGATCTAGATTAAGAAAAATTGCACTTTTCATTATTCAAAATGATTCAAAAATGTGTTTAGCTTTGTAGAATTGGAAATATCCCTTTAGATTATTGGATTTTTTATGTTGTTAGGTTCACAAATTTCTTACAACATTTGTGAATGACATATCATATCATTTACTTAGTAATATTCGCATTTAGGCCTTATCTCACAATATTCTTAAGCTTACAAATTTAATTTGATTTGGAATCTGTCACTTAAAATATTCTTAAAACTCTCTTATGACTCCACCTTTATCCCAAATGATTACTTGTCCCATCCTGACATCCTCTTGATCCCCTTTAAACTTAATTGCTCTGCCTGACAATATCCTAGATGGATATCAATACACATCAAAATGATGTCAGATGTGGCAATTGCCCTTCACCCCACTCATATGAATATAATGATTACAATGTATTTTATGCTGTGATACGCACATGCTAACCAAGCCATCTCAACTAAGCCCATGTCCCGACCCTCGACTAGATTTAAACGGTCCTGAAGCGACTGTCAATATGTGTGACAGGTTTTTTAAGATGCTTCGCCTTTTGGAGCACTTGGTCCCATTGTTGGATGCGTTTTTGCCTCCCGTTTATATCTTTGCCACGTCTTCCTACTTCTGAAAAAGTTGCTCATTGTCGACTGTGACAGGAGACCCGGGCCCCGTCTATTGCTCATCATTCAGGCATTTGACGACAGACGACGACGCAGAGGGGTTGAGGAAAAGCTGCCTTGACTACGTCAATGGATTGGGGATGGCACAGGCACAGAAGGAGGAGGAGGAGGAGGAGTAGTAGAAGGACCTCGAGGAGGCTGAGGGAGCTGCATCCATGGCCCGAGTTGGCTGACAATGGAGCTGCGCATTTGTTACAATGTTTACACAAATATTTAAGGATAATCCGACGATTTCAAAGGGGTTATTATGCAATTTTTCTTCTCATTTTATTGTGGCTGCTACCAGCAGCAACAAAATGGATGCAAAAAAAAAAAAGATCAAAATAGACCCAACTGAATAACTAAATGCAAAATGTCAATTTCGTCGTGTAAGCAGAGTCCATCCCCCCTTTTGTCGGTAGGGGATCTATGGCTGTATATTCATATTTATTTGCTGGTAATGTCTAAAATGCGTCTACTTCATGGCAACGTGGCGTGTACTTAATGTCCTTCTACCATCTCCATCTCTCACTCTTGCTAGTCCTCGCATCTACAATATATTTGTAGTATTTATATTTTTGCATTCATTTCCATTGCGCCATTGCCCGCTGTTTAAACTGCCTATAAATAATGTGGGGCGGGTGTGGGGGGTCCACAAACGGAAAATTTGTCGGTCATAAGAAATGCTGAACATTTTATGTGCCATTTTAAGCCGTGGGATGTGTGTGTGATATGTGTGTTTTTGCGCTGTAGCGTCCTGCCTTGCATCCAAAACATATTCATGTCCTGCTGTGGCATCATTTTCTTTTATTGTTTGGGAGTCCAAGTGGAGTTCAGCATGAGTTTTGATCTCCAATTGAGTATTTGAGATGTAAGAAGGCTTCAAAACTTTAATTAATTTGGAGTTTCCTTTACAAAAAAAAAGGGGAATATAACTTTATAAATCATTTACAAATAGTAAATGAGGCTCCTATTGTACTTTGCATGAATCAAGGACCCATTAAATACACTTCCACCCAGCCTAAACGGCCACAAAATGCCTTCATGCTATTGCCAGTTATTAGCCGCTTTCAAGTTTGATTTTGAGATGGAAAATCATTGGGATTATTCAAACCGAAACTCGAGGGAAATCCTAGAGGCTGTAAAGTAGAGGAAAAGAAGAATCATTTCAAGCAAATCATTGTGCTGGGCGGCATTAACAGTTGGTTATGTATACTTAAGTATATGCCGCTGGCTGTCTACGCCAACGAGGGATGTCCAACTCGGCCTCTCAGTCCCAGTCCCAGTCCCAGTCCCAGTCCCAGTCCCCGGAACCAGTACCAATCCCAGTCCTACCACTGCTCCTGCCCAGACTATTGGAATGTCTCGACATTTCGCGCAAATGCCAAAAGTACAAGGCGACCAAGGCGTCTTCCAACAATGCGGTGGCAGCCGGCAGCCCCAGGGCACATCATTAAAATGTCGATACCAAGCAAATCACACGCCCGCCGCCAGCGAGAAGGATAACAACTGCTGCAGGAGCAGCAGCAGCAACAACAACAATGGGGGAAAATATCAACCAGGGTGCGTTTGTTGCACTGCGGTGAATGGAGTTGGCGGTGGGTGGCGTATTAGGGCGTAGCCCAGTGCAATATGAGCCTGTGGCATTTAACAAAAATGAGAAAAAAATATATATAAAAAAAAGAAATAAAGAAGGAGGCGAGGGGGGAAAAACAGCAGCAGCAAATGGGAGAAAAAAGAAAATAACTAAAAAACAGAAAACGAGTGCAAAATTCAATTGAATTTACTTCGCCAGACGTCGCACAATACTCGGCTCAACTAGCATTTAATGCATTGGCAGTGCGGCATGCGTTGTGGTGCACCCGCTCCAGCTCCAGCTCCAGCTCCATTCCCCCCATTTCTCCTGACCCGCTGAACTGGCCGCCTCATCCTCTACTCTCCTCTCGGCAACTTTGTGGTTGAGCGGATGACGAAAGGTGGCCGAGGGTATCTGGCTTTCGGCGGGGAGCGGTGGCAGTGCGGCGGCATATAGACAATGCTGTTGCGTTATCATTAAAAGCGAACAAAAATGCGGCAAAAGAAAATAGAAGCAAACAGCAATGAGCAGAGCACCAACATCAACAACAACAACATCACCAACATACAACAACAACAACAGCGGCAACAAAAAAGGCAACCACAAAAGGCCAGCACCCAGCTGGAGTCGCCTCTTGTTTTCCATACTCTCGGAGAGGTTCCTGCAACTCTGTTGTGACTTTTAGAACGCCCACAAGGAGGCAGTTTTGTCCTTATAGGATCCGCACAGCGTTTTCATTACAACTTGTCATAAAATGGACTTTGTTTGCCCCAAGAAGCAATAATTCTAAGCTTCTTTTTTATTTCTAAATTCCAAGAAATATGTATGCACATTGTTCAGTCAAGATTATAAGCTGCAAAAGCTTGGATCTTGGAATTATTAAAGCCATGCTTAATGGTTATGAGAATGCAAGTACATTGTCAAAGGAATGTAATTTGTTTTAAACAAATTTTAAACCTGAAAGTGTATTTCCACTTCGACTTGATAAAGTTGGCTTAAATAACTTGTTGTATATTTTATATAAAATCCAGAGCATGCTACCTTTAGTGGGAATATAAAATAATGCAGGGGCTATCTGACAGGCCAGCAGAGATCAGCAGTTAATTATAAACAAACTATAAACCTTGTGCCAGAAACTGGCATAAACTATAGCATACTTTTTTGGGAACTCTAAACAAGTAGCACCTATGCTTTTTATTATTCTTCTATTATTATGTTTACCCTTAATTTTGGTTAACTTTCATTAAGAAGTATTTAATATTTCATATTCGAACCTTTTCCATAGGCTTTTAAAAGTTGGATGGGTTTCTCTTTTCAACCAGACCCAGCAAAATGGGGAAATGGTGCCTTTTTTGCCTCGTGGGCTGCCTAAAAAATGCGCAGCATGCATCCTGTGGTGGCTGCTCCTGCCACCCGAAAGCGGCATTCCCAGGAGCGAGAGAAGCATCCTCAGGAGCGGGATAGGGACCACCACTGGCATATAAAAAAAAGGATCCACAGATCCAGCAGCAGCAGATAATACAGTGCGGAAAAAGCGCGTGTTTTATTTCCACTTAGCACTCACTCATACACTCACACATACGTACTAAAACGTGCCTGTATTGAATGCCTGTTGACGGCTGCTTGGCCCCTCCCACCCACTTTTGGAGCCACCGCCCTCCTTTCCCCACGAGAGAAACAATAACAACGGCAACAAAGCGCCGAGAATCGGAAATGTTGCCGTTGAAACTGAAATGTCGCTACGCTTCTCTCGTTTGTTTGTCGTTGTAAAAAGCAGGCTGGGAATGGGTGCGCCTCCACACCCCCCCCCAAGGAGGGGTATGGCTACGCCCATGTAAAGGCTGCTGCTGCTGCTGCTGTCAGAGACTTGCCTGAATTACGATATTGTTATTATTAAATGGATGGGCTGCATGCGAAAGGAAGCTGCAACTGCAACTGACTCCGCTATAAGGAGAACAAGAAGGAAACTGACAAGGGAGATGGGGAAGGGATCACACTGAAGGCGCAAAGGAAGGGAAACCTTTTGGCAAGTCGAATTGTCTGTATCCTCACCGAATGGTGTTTTATAATATATATGATCTGCATAAATGTAAAGAAACATTGTAGTAGTTTAATAATCTCATTCCTTAGGTAGCAAACCCATAGTTAAGCTTTACAAATATCTAAAATTTACAATGATTTAAGAGCTAAGTATCCTACTGTCAAAGCTCTTAGCTATAACCTTCTACTCTGGTTGTTTTATGCAGGAGTAGACCCTCAGAAGTCGTCAGGGAAGATGTCTCTGCTTGCTCTTTGATAGTTGAGTTTTGATCCAGAAAGGCATTTAATGTCTTGTTTTCATATTGCACTCAACACAAAACACAAAACAACAACGCATACAGCAGTTATGTAAATATGAATGCAACACATCGCGTCAAAGCTGAAATCGACTTTTGAGCCTGATGAAATGGCTCTCGACATGCTCAGACTCAATTTAATTTGCCCAGACATTGGCATTTAATGAAATGCACGGCAGCAGCTGCTGCTGGCAAAAAGGAGCAAGGAGAAGCAGGAGTAGGAGGCAGCAGACAGGATGCACGACAGCAGCAGGAGCTGTGACCCAACTGTCGTTGCATTCTCGTAGGCGCAGCAATTACGTGCCACTGCATTAGGAGACAGCGAACTCATCCCAATGTGGGGGAGGGCAGAAAGAGGCAATGCCTGGTGTCCTGCAGGCATTTGCATCTTATCGAATCCTTTGGCCTGCGGACAAAGTTCTGCCCAAGGTGACTTTGCTTCCGGTGAATGGTTTTTAATTTGCAAACATTAAACGCTTCCCGTCGTCGCTAGGTTAGTTGAGCTACGTGTATCGGACTTAACTTATTTCTTAACAGGAATTCCAATAGCACATCTTAAGACATGTTCAAGTTTCGAAATTCGATTGAGACCCTCACAGACTTAACCCTGAAATACCCTAATAGTTTTCTGAAAGCTTTAGTTACTGCCTCAAATGTAGATGCATTTATTTGGTTGCCCCTCTGGCACATCAATAAAATCCCTCAATTTGTAGATCAAAGTTCCATAAATTGTCCAAGCTGAATCTACTCAACGGATGGATGGATGGAAGGGAAGTTGCCTTCGAGGGGGGACTTAAACACTCGCCACGTAATATGCAAACACTCTATTACCGCTGGCAAATTCAAATGCATTCGGCCATAACTCTTATCCTTTATGGACTTGCCAGCCCCGCCATTTCTCTTTATGATTCCCTTTTTCGCCCACAAGTTGGCAACATGTAATCGGCCATAAAAAATTATAACTGTGCATTAACCTCTGGCTGCGGTCATCGGAAGGGAGGAGCGGAGTGGCGGGTCAGAGGGAAATCGAAACGAAACGAATCGAATGAAGTGGCCCCGGGGGTAGGGACAGGATGCCGGGAGCTTGGAGTGGCGGCGACGACAAGGACAACATCGTTATTGAACGCTTATCACTACATGCCATCAAATTTTAATGCCGAAAACCCTTTGGGCCAGAGCACCAGAAGCATTGGAAAAGGATATGGACGTGCATGTGGATGTGGATGTCGATGTCGATGTGAATGCGGATGCGGAACAAGGAGAACAGAATCAGGAGCAGTACTGGTGGGGCAGCAAAACATCTAATAAGTGTTGTAAGCGATGCAAACATAATAATTTGTATGACTTCTGAAAGCAGAAACTTGTAATTTTGCAGAGGCCCTGGCCCCGGAAACGCTCTCCTCACACTCAATCCTCGATCCCCTTGTGCATCTCCATGTGTGAGTGTGTCCGCCGTTAAAATGCAGGCCAGACCCAGGACGAAATCCCAGAGCCAGTGGCCCAGGCAAATCGCTTGCCAAAAATAAAATTCAAGAAAAACCCCGAAGAAAATGGCCAACCAGCTGAGGAGCAGATACATGGAAAGAGTGAAGGAGAATGTACAAAAGCCAAGTCAAATGGACATTGGATAAATAACTACTGAGTTATGGGTGGCCAGGCTCTTTAGCCCCATGGCTGACATCGTCCTATGGATGGGACGCAAAGAGATGCCGAATATCTCCATGTAGCCATCGGCTGGCAGTGCGGACGAAGGGCAACTCTCGGTCACAGCATCAGCAGCAGCAGCAACGCCATTGAATCAAATTTTGCAAATCCTCGACGACAAAAGACAAGCAGCAGCAGGAGCAGCAGGAGAGAAGGCTGCTGAAACAGAGGCATCGATATAGTGGATGATGGCCTGCAGAAGGAGCTTGGCCTGGTGTGTCGAGAATAGAGCAGTCAATAGGCCAGAGTGTTATCTATGCGTCAATGGGGTGGTTAAGATTTTTTCTCGTATTCAATTTCGTTTTTTATGGGCTCCTTTTTTGAGAAAAAATCGAGTGAGTAGAGTTAAACGGGTATTGAGGCTTGATAGAGCTATTACTATTACTGAAACTAAAACTACGTGTTGCTGTAGTTATGTTAAAGCAGTTTGTAGAATTATAGATGATCTATATCTAATATTTTATAGATTGGAAAGTCAAATCACAAGAACAGATTTCTAGCTACAAGCCCTGTACCCGATAGAGCATTTTCAATTCGTTTTCAAGGCAATGGCCTTTCGTCCTCGTTAGTATCTTTGACGCCTTTTCCATTTCCGACAGCGAAAGCTTTTAGCGTCTTACTGGCATTTTGGACGGCGAATCCTGAGAAGGATGCGGATGCGGCCTCGGCATTACAAAATAGCTTGAAGACTATTTGTAATTTGCATTCATTGACGCCGCCTCTTTTTTATCGCCTGCCACAAGTTGTAACTGTGAGTGGGTGGTGGTGTGACGTATGAGCGCTAAAAACAAAGTCTGAAATCCCCACAGAACCCAACACACACACACACCCGTGCTCTTGGTTGTGTGTCAACAGGCCACAATGCCGCCGCCTCTCAGTCGAGCAGAGAGTTGTCCGGTAGCCTACACACATCTCACCCACATCTCGCCCACTTCCTGACTCTGCCGGGAGGATGCGGAGGAGTGGAAGAGCGGGAGCGGGAGCGGGCGGATGATTGCCGTGCGTGTGTGGATGCTCTCGTGCCATTTCCGACTTTGCACGTACCTTCATCAAGTTGTCATTCAATTTTTAAATCCATAGCAAGTTTTGTACTTAACATAGTTGTGACAAGTTGACAAAGACTAAGGAAGCCGTCGACTGTCGCTCCATTGCCGGCATTCAAAACTTGCTGCCGCCAACGCCAAGTGGAAGTTCTTTTCATTCCCTTCGACTTGTCAGTCTCTTATGTGGCGGTTAGATCTTTAACTTTGCTCCTCGAACCATTTACCTACCAGATCTCTTTTGTAGGATGGTTCCCGGAAAATCGCATCATTTCCACTCACTGCATGCTCGCACAATGAATGTTTCTGCAAGTTAATTAAAGTTTTACATGAAAACCATTTAGTAGAAGAGATCAAATGATAAGCGATTGTCACTAACGATCTGGTTTACTATTATTATTACTATTGTCTTTTTATATCTAAAGCCATTAATAACATTTAAACGCTATTAGCAGCTTAATAAAGTTACATTTCCCTTGTTCCGTAACCCAGTCAGGCACATAGACAATCAAGGAGCGTATCCCTTCTGGGTAACTGGAGCAACTCCTTTGCCCGCACCCTCTTATCATCATCTGACCATTGACCGTCACCGTCGCCGTCGCCCAACCGACAATGACTTGTTGCCTTGGCTTTGGCACATTTAGCTTTCCCTCATCCTCGTTGTTATCCTTTTCGTCATCCATTCCAGTCACCAAGCTTCATCTCTCTTCGTTCTCCGGACCGAATCGTTGGCTTTCGTTACGTTCCTTTCCATTTCGCGGGCCGCATTAATCCGGCGTAATGAGTTGTACGCCATTTTGCTCTAAATTGTTTGGTGAGTGCCTGATAACAATATTTGCACTAATTTGGCATTTTTAAGTGTGCTCCACTGACACTTGATGCGCTTTTAATTGCGCCCAGGCGCTCGAGAGTGCTTCAGAGGAGTGCGAGGTGAAGGAGGTGGACGAGGAGACGGGCGGATGTGCGGGTGGTGGCTCTGCCTGTGCGACAAGGGTGCCGGAAAATGGGGAAAAGCAGATGGTGCGGTAGTGCTGTCTCCTTGTGGCTGTCCTCGTGCGGTTGCATCCGCATCCTCATCCCCTTGCCGTCGCCTGGCATGTGGCAAGAAATGTGAAAGATAAACGATTCATTAGTTGCTGCCTGGGGGAGAGTGGGGAAAATTCCTGTCCTTCCCCACCTGACGCACCGAAAAAAAGTGGGAGACTGAGAGACAATAAAAGTTTCACCAACTGCCGCCTGTTTTTATTGCAACTTGAGTGCAAATCTCTTGCTTGATGTCATCGCGTTTCTACGTTCTGTCTTTATATCTATTTTATGGCATCTTCAGTGCAAATCTCCAGCTTGATGTCATCGTTCTGCGTTCTCCTTTTTAATTTTCAGTACGACACTCTTGATTGCCCCGGAACTGGAGGCAACATGCGAGCTTTGAGCGGTGGATCCACCACGACGGAGCTGCTACAGAAGCACTCGATCAGTTCCTTCCTCGACCACCACCAGCAGCAACCACAGCAACACCATCATCTGCAACTGCAACAGCAACAGCAGCAGCAACAGCAACAACAGCAGCAGCAGCACGATCTTCTGGGTAGATGTAACGACGACGGATTAATATCTTTTATCAACGGTGAGTGATAAAAGGAGTTCTTTGCTAAGTACATTTCCTTTAAGCCTTCTCCTTTAAAACTAGATAGGAAGCTAAGGCCATCCTTTAGGGATTTTATGCAACTGTAGGAAACTTTGTGGTGTTTGTTAATTTGCAAATCGTAAATGTTACTTTTACTTTGCTGCCAAAAAGTCCCATTTGGACTCTAAAATGTCAGTAACACACACAAACATTATTTCAATACTTTTTTACTTTTAGAAGTCGGCACACATACATACACAATTCGTAGTCTAATTTCACATTGTTAGTAAGTTTCATTAGACACGTTGTTTTAAGCTGGCCTCGAGCATCCGCAGACTCGAGTGGTGGGCTTTAAAAAATTTCCCTTAACGTTTGGTCTTCAAATTGTCACCATAAGTACCCGCAATAGCGACGCTGAAATCAAATTTTTAAGTACCACTCAAATTTTAAATACCAAGCTCTAAATTGTTTCTGTCCGCGAACATTGAGGGAAGGCCAGACAGAAATGTGTACCAGCTCGAAGAAACAAAACGCTGAAACCGAAGCGTTCCATTGCGCCAATGGCCTACGATCCGCTGTATCGCCAATGCTGAGCCTAGAGACGGTTTACATTGGCAAACAGATGTCGCAGAAATCCTTTGGGTTCGAGACCAACAGCGAGAGCAGCGACGATGGCAGCAGCAGCAACAACAACAGTGACAACAAGGACCTTGGCAGTCTGGCGGCAGCCTGCTACGGAGGTCAGAACTTGGCCCAAGACAGCAGTGGTGGCTATGGCAATGGGGAAAGTAACAGCAGCTGCAGCAACCCGAGCAACATGGACAACACAAACACAAACAGCAACTGCAGTACGCCTAATTTATTAGCAGTTTTTCGATTATTTGCAAAGTGCTTGAGGGGCAATAGTTTTGATTTATCGAGGGCTGGGCAAACTTTACGATAATTGTTGACATTGCACTCACCCTCAACCCTCTCTCTTCCCCAGATCCAATCACACTGAACGATCTGCTCGGCCTCTGTGGCACTGGTGGCAATGGGGTCGTCGGAGGTGGCCAAAACCCTTCGACATCTTCGATGGGTGGAGGAGTAGGAGGAGCGGCAGCAGCAGCAGCAGCAGGTAGTGCGGGAGCTACTACGGCAGTCGGTACAGCATCGGGAACAGGAGTAGGATCTGGACTAGGATCGGGCCAGGGAGGAGCCACCTGCCCCGCGAGCCAAACCCCCGGCAGCTTCGGTGGTAACGGCAGCAGCAGCGGCGTCAATAATCTGCTGCTTGCCAGCGCTGCTGCTGCTGTCGCTGTCGCCGCGTCTGCCGGTGATGGCGTCCAGCTTTCCGCCAACGCGGCGGTCTACGCTCCACTCACGCCCAGTTCCACTCAGTCCTCGGCGTCGCCGGGCACCAAGTCGTCCAGTTTCGACTACTTCCAGGTAAGGCTAGGCGCTTTTGTTAACGCCTCCGGCAAATGGCCGTCGTTTGATGCCTGTCCCCACTGGCTGGGACTTCTTCTCCTCTAACTGCACTCAATTTGCACTTAATTCTCCTAACTTTTTGCTTGTACTCGTTATCCGTATCTATCCCGCCCGTGTGTCCCACTCTCGGACTATATAACCGTCTTATGATTTCCAAATTATTTCACCTGTCTGTCTCTGTCTCTATGTGTGTTGTGAGTGAGTGGGTCAAATTACAGTGAAATTTCTTATTTCCTATAACTAAAATATTCTAAATAAATAGTTATTTTAGCTTTTGATTGGAAGTAATCAATTCAATTAAATATATCTAAATTAGTCATAGAATGATCATAAATTCAATGAAGAAATATAAGTTTTCTCTTCCAAATCGCAACCGTAAATTTGATAAATTATTAAATAGTGTTTTTGTACAGACCCACTTCACTCGGTGTTTATCCTTTTCAATAAAACCTTGCAGAAACATTCCAAGTTAACTCAGAGATTCTTATATTCCGATTGTAGCATGTGAGAATATATTCAGAACCAAAAGATACACTTGGAATAAAAAATATAAATAGTGACAATTGCAAGAGTATGTGCAACTTCGTTGTGGCGAAGTTATCGGTTGTCTTTACCACCGTTCGTTGTTTCCTTTCCTCGTTTTAATTTATTTGTTGTTGTTTCCATTCTTTCTTTCTTTTTTGGGTGAATTGGCGAACTTAGTTTGAAAATGTTGCACAAAGTAACCCACTTAAGGCTTTCCAAAGAACAAACATCAGCTTCGATTGCTCTGCACCTTTATCGCCAAGTACGCCTACATCTATTTACAATCGCTCCTTTCACAGTTCACCTTTAGTCAGGTAATAACCAATGTGATATGCGGCACCCGCTCCCATTCCCAATTGACCACGTTAACTAATCAAGTGTGTTGTGCCTTAACCCTTCCAGTGACAGCAGCAACTCCTCGAGCGGCAATGGCCTCTCCATGGACTCCATAAACATGCTCTACCACCATCAGCATCAACAGCAGCAGCAACAGCAGCAGCACCAACAGCAGCACCAACAGCAGCAGCATCAGGGATACACCAGCTTGGGCCACTCCACGAGCAGTGGCTTGGGACTCAGCCTGGCGAATGCCTCTACGCGATCCAACTCGCCAGAGAGCCAGAACAGCAGCCAGTCGATTAGCGAGCCCAACCTTCTGGACATGATTGTAAGTCTTTTTTATACTCTTACAGGGTATTCTAATATTAGTTAGAAGACTGTAACGCTATGAAGGAATCATTTCTTGATCAGCATCAAAAACTGAATCGATCTAGCCATGTACGGTCGAAATATATATTTTTGAAATTGTTTCAAAATTGGAAAAAGTAATAAGGGGTTACATCATTAAAATTTAAACTTTGGTCCAATACAAATTTCGATAAATATCAATTAAGCGTAGTTATGATCGATTTCCATTTCCCATGTAAGGTTATATGTACACACTTTCTAAAGTTTTTTTGCTATTTGTATTTCTTATTATTATTTCACTACTGTCAGTCAAGCTACTCTTGATTTTTCATTCAAACAAAACAAAATTTTTGGTTACAAGTAATATTCGTTTAAAAAAAAAGAACAAAAAATTAGGTTTTAAATTTTAACGTAAAGACAACAATGGCTAATATTTTAACACTGGTAAGATAATTAGAAGATCAAAAACTTTAAAACGATGTTGCAACAACAAATTATGTGTGTTTTTCCAATCTTTTGCTTGCACATTCTGTCTTGTAGATATCTCATTCCTCTTTAGGCTTCTTAATTATTGCGTATACACATATATTAAGATATTAAATCAAAATGTCTTTCAGAATTTGCTGTCTGTTAATAGCAACAAATTAGCCTCAATGCAGCAGCAGCAGCAGCAGCAACTGCAGCAGCAACAGCAGCAGCAACAGCAGCAGCACCATCACCATCAGCAGCAGCAACAACAGCAACACCAACACCAGCAACACCAACACCAGCTACAGCAGCAATTCGCAAACATGAGCAGGAACTACGAGCAGCAGATGGCCAACAATGGAGGTCAGCAGCAGCACGGGTTCGATCTCAATGGCGTTGGCACTGTCGGCGGGGGCAACGAGAATTGCCTCGGTCAGTGCAGCCTGGACAACTTCGCTAGCGTGGATATGGAACTAGCCAAGTTGCAGAACTTGCAACGTATCAACACGCTGAAGCTGCTGCAGGCACAGACGCAACAGATGCCGTTGCTAAGCCAACTGCTGCAGAGCTATGCTGGCGGCAACGTTACGGGAAATACCTTGAACAACCTTATAGGTATGGGCGGGTCGACCAACGGAATAACCATGTCGGATATGAATGGTGGCGGCACCGGCAACGGAACCAACAATGATGGTCATCTGGATCGCGTGGCAAAGTTCCACAGGACCTCGGCTGCTCTTTGTGACGCCACATGTACCTGGAGTGGACAGCTGCCGCCGCGCTCGCACCGCATGCTCAACTATTCGCCAAAGGTCTTTCTCGGCGGCATTCCCTGGGATATTAGTGAGCAGTCGCTAATCCAGATCTTTAAGCCCTTCGGCTCCATCAAGTGAGAGAGCGCAATGTAGCATTTTACCCGAATTTCTTAGTAACCCCCAAATCTCGATTTCGGCAGAGTGGAGTGGCCCGGAAAGGAACAGCAAGCTGCGCAACCCAAGGGCTATGTGTACATAATCTTTGAGTCCGACAAGCAGGTGAAGGCCCTACTCTCCGCCTGTGTGGTCCAGGTGGATGATTCCCACAGCGGCAGTAACTACTTCTTCAAGATCTCCTCACGTCGCATTAAATCAAAGGATGTAAGTATATCAAGCCAAATTAAGTGATTCAAATAAGACATTTGTTACCGTTTAAAAAGGTCGAGGTCATTCCATGGATAATTGCCGACTCCAACTTTGTGCGCTCAAGTTCCCAGAAATTAGATCCTACGAAGACCGTATTCGTTGGTGCTTTGCATGGCAAGTTAACAGCTGAGGGGCTGGGTAAGATAATGGATGATCTATTTGATGGTGTGCTGTATGCTGGCATCGATACGGACAAGTACAAGTACCCGATTGGATCGGGACGCGTGACCTTTAGTAACTTTCGCTCATACATGAAAGCCGTCTCGGCCGCCTTCATTGAGATTCGAACCACAAAGTTCACCAAAAAGGTGCAGGTGGATCCATATTTAGAGGACGCCCTGTGTTCAATATGCGGAGTGCAACACGGTCCCTACTATTGTCGAGAGTTGTCTTGTTTCCGGTGAGTAAATCGAACTGTAAACATTGAAATCTAATCTAATTATTTACTCTATTTTAGCTACTTCTGTCGCAGTTGCTGGCAATGGCAGCACAGCTGTGACATCGTCAAGAACCACAAGCCCTTGACCCGCAACTCCAAGTCACAGAACCTGGTTGGCATCGGTCCATCCTCGTCGACCGTTTCGCTGGCCTCGTCCAGCCACAGTAATAACGGCGAAAACAAGACGCCGCATCACCAGCAACAGCATCAGATCCAGCAGCAGCAACTGAAGCACCATCATCTCCAACAGCAGCAGCAAGCGCAACAGTCTCACAATCTGAACTTGATGAGCAATCCCGGATCTGGCAATGCTGCAACATTGTACAACTTCCAGCAGCAGCAACAGCGGCAAAAGCAGCACAATCATCCGGCGATCTAGGCAGCCTAAGCTTTTATCCGCACCGTTTTACGGATTTTTCCGCATATACGTGTAAGGCGGAATTTCGGACTTTTAGTGGCAGAGTTTTTCCAGAAGCCGATGGAGACCCGGGCTCGTCATCAACTTCATCATCATTATCATTGTGAACACAGTTTTATTGATGTGTGTATATTAGATCGGTAGGATATGATGAAGCTTACACTTTGAATTTCCTTTAAGGCAATTAGTGTTGGTCGATGACCGCTCCCCCCCCTCAAAGGACCCCCCAAACACACTCACACTCATTCATACTATTTTTTTGATAATCATGCTTACATATCAGCATTTGGAGCTGGCATTCGAATGTTTAACGAATGGATATACGTGAAATAGTCGCCCCTACACTATACTTGTTAATTTCTTAGCTAAGAAAGCTGTTCATAATTTCTTCTTTGTACAATGTCTAATTTTAAGCGAACGAGGCGGTTCAGGTGCTGGCGTCGGGAAACTGGAAGAGACTCGACCCAGCAACTTTCCGATTAGATAGATGAGACTTTATATATATTTTTTTTGTTATGTTTTGCGCTATTATTGAGGAATTTTATATGGTTTCTTTTTACATAGCTAAGTCCCCCAAGCCCCGAGTTGAAATGATTATATTATGGATTGTCCGTTAAGCGTTTATCAGGGAATTTCAATTTTTAAAAAGATATTTTAAAAATTGTAAATTCATTTAACTCACCACCAACCAGTCCCACTTTATTTTTTTGTCACTCGAATTGAATTTTGTTACGAACCTGAGTTACTATATATATATTTTGTTTAGTTTTTGTTTTGGATTAGCTTTAAGCTTAATATCGATGTTGAACATCAACGCGATGCCTGATTGATTAATTGTTAAACTTTGTTTTAAGGCTTTATCATTCTTTGGCTTTTTTGGCTGTTCCACACCAGTTTTAGAGCACCGCTCGGCACTAGGCTTATAATTTATGTCCCAACATTCTTTTCCATGTATTTTGAGAACGGATCTCAAGCGCCTATATATTAAACTATATTTAAAATACTCATACATGTATGTAGCCACATAGTATTACATATTGAACTTTACGCAAGGCCTTAACTTTATTTAAACGTTACTCATTTTGTACACCTAACACGCATAGTGAAAAATAACCGAAAAGAACTCTATACTTAAACCAAAACCGAACGAACGCGAAATCTAAATTCATTCATAAAACCAAACACACGTATTCTCGAAACAAAACCACAAATATATATAACAACAAATCGCTTTTGACTTAGCCTTTGGTTTCATTTTGGCCACTCTTAATACAAGCTTAACACCTAACACTAATCTTGCGCTTCCCATGCTGATTGTTACTCTTAAGCTAACCAAGTTAAGAAACTAGAACTAGTCTAATATCAACATTTAAATTCAAACGAATTTAAGCATAAAAACAATCAAATTACTTTACCAAAACAACTGAATACTCAGAATGACCGAAAGCAACCAATGTAATCGAGTAATTCAGACTCAACGAGAGACGACGGGTGTGTTATGTGTCATTTTAACGCATATGGCCCCTAGGCATTAATTGTTTTTAGCATTATCTCGTACATCACACATTTACACACGCATTACGATGAACCTACAGGGATTTTAAGGTAGTCTTCAAAAGAAACAAATATGAGAAACCATGTAATTATAACAATAACGAAACGAGAAACGACGGCTAGGAGGAGGAGGAGGGAGCAGAATAGTTGAATTTGTTTAGTTTTTAATATATAGATTTGCTGCGAGGATAAGCAATTTTTAAAGTACTCGAGGGATTGCGGGTCTAGGCAAATCAAGGATGCCTCTTAGTGTAACGGTTTCTGTTGTAGCGCCTACACCTAGCTTAGTTTCCTTTAGCCAGGACCAGTTCACACTGGCCTGGCCGGTGTATGATTAGCAATAAACATAAGCCCAGGCCCACAAGTGCAGTGCATTGTTACTAACCATTTACCATATACATATATGTACGTTACCTATCTATACACGCAAACACACACATAATTAATGCCTTCGATTAGGAGAGAGGAGAACCGAACCCAAGAAAAAAAAAACAAAAATCACCCACTTAAATCGCTTTAATGCCAACCACAAATCAAAAAGCTTATTGACTACTTTTAATGCAATCGAGAAGTATTGTAAAGTATGCCTACCAAGTGGAATCAGCGTGGCATTGGTTCTAGATAATAGAAACTAAAAGGATATCAGGGGTTCAGAGCATGAGGAATGCCTATGTGGCCCTTATATATACCCTGAAGTGGCGAATAGTCTTCCCCCAAAATGAGAGGAATACTAGGAAAACAACATATATATTTTAAAAGCCAAGTTGATTCCAGTTAAGTCGTGGATATAGATAAAGAGAAGGGAGAATACCTTAACCCTAAGCTAGACAAACTGTAAATACATACGGATAAAATGGTGCTTTAGCTAAATTATTAGTAATCGTAAGACTTACCTTGATAGGAAAACATTAATGCTCCAAAACTGCATCAGCAAAAAAAAAAGACCTTATTTCACTTGCCCTCGATAGTGTTTGAGGGGTGTATCTTTTTAAATTTATTTTTTAGCCTTTATAATGAACTAATTAGGTGGCTGAGACGACATGGCAGTACCATTCTTTTATTGAGAAAATCAGATAAATGTTTCAAATCTATTGGATACATTAACGTTTTTAGCTCGCAGAACATCAAGCTCACATTTCGAATAACTAAATACACTAATATACCTAAACACTAGCACACAAACACACTCGTAAACTTGCAAACATATTCGTAAACAATTTTAAATAACTCTAAAATTTACCATATTTTTACTAACCAAAAGAATAACAAATGAAAGAAGAAGGCCAAGCGGGGTGACTTTTAAATGGAACTTTTTAAGGCTATATATTTCGGCAAGAAACAATTGGCGACTCAATCTCGATCGTATATTACACAGTTTTACTTTAACGTTTTTAATGCTTTTACAAGCTTAAGAACAAACAGAATGTGAATTTTAAATTAACACTTACACACACATACATGTACTATGTGAAACAACAGTTTTAAACTTTTCCACACGGCTTTTCAACTTAATTAACATGAAGTTTTTATTTTCAATCGAAATTAATCTAAAGAAAATGCGAGTCTAGGAGAAGAGATTCACAAATGTATCAAAAATATAATGTTTAAACGAAATGTAAAGGAACCAAAATCGAACGCTTCCCACGCAAAAACCGATAATATTAAATTTTAGCAAAGTAAATCAGAAAATATTAAGAGAAAATATGCAAGGCGTAATTATTAGGCAACAATTCAAAATATTAAACAATCCAAAGTACATATATATTTAAAATAAACACACATATTTTACTGACACACACACACAAACCAGTCATCTGATTTATCTTACGTCTCTACTTTTAAGCCAATCTACACACACTATACAGAGTAAATTATTTTTAAACGCATACAAAAAGGGGATACCTGCCCCGTGGATGGAATATCTCTCTGCCTATGCCGATATCTCCAACACACTCATTAACTAACCTCTCTATACTGTACTCTAAACTAAACTGCATACTAAATACTCGTATTCGAAAACCCTATAACAGATATTTTTACTATCGTATTACTGATTGTACTGTCAACTGTATTCAAAGACACACAAGTGAACATGTGAGACACATTTTGGGGGAACATTAGCAAGAACTTTGCAAATTGAATTTTAAACCAACAATATTTGCTCGGCAAATGTGTTACCAGTTAGGCCTAAGCGTAGCGATAAGGGATAAGAGAATGCAATAAGAACGGTTTTTAAAAAGACTATTATACAACCTATATATATATACACCAATGAATATATAATAACGATAATTCAGAAAGGAATACTAAGCTTTTAATGCAATAATCAAATACCACATATACTATATATACATACATGCATATATATATTTTAATAATTACTTGCGGGGCAACACCAATGGCGATTGAGTTAAGAGCTGCCCCGCCCAGAATTCGTATACCGTTATTATAGCCAAGGAGCGGAAGGATATTTAGAAGAATATTTAGTAGCGGGCGCCATGCCCTTAACCGGAAATGGCGGCCCAACTAATTGATTTTCCCACCTTATATAGGAATATAAACAAAAAATTACTGCAGTGCCATTTTAAATAGCTTCCGATAAGTAAAAATATATATACAAATAAATACATAAATATTTATAAAATACAAGGCATACATTAGTACGTACATAAATACTTAGTACAATGTTGTTCCTAGTTCTTAGAGGCCTCCGAAAAAGCCCTGAATTGTGTTTTACAAAAACACCTCTTCTTCGCTCCCTCAAAAATGAGAATCGGAAGAATCTGGCAAATAATGTTTCTTATAGAAAAGAAGAGTTGGGTTCAAATACTTGGATGGCCTCTTCTAATTTCGAACACGACGGTGTACACGCAATATAAATTCATACAAATAAAGATATATACCTATTTATGTAATAATAATTATTATATATTGTTATGAGCAAGAGTTCAAATTGCATTATGGTTATAACAAAAAAAAAGAAGTAAAACACACTTACACAACAACTACAAAAAGCAAATGGAACAATGTTGAACATATTTTGAGTGCGTGGAAATTTTTTGGGAACTTTTTGAAGCTTTTTTTGTAAATGGAGCGATGATCTTCAATCGAATATGCAAAAGGAAGAGGAAATATTAAATGTAATAATAATTAAAGCAGAATACAACTCCTGTAGCTAGGTATATTATCGAAAATTAACAAATCCCAGAACTATATCTCTATATCAAAATAACGAGAATTTTAATAAACGCCGCACCTAATAGACAGCAGATATAATAGGACTATACAATAAAAGGATAACAACTTCATTCATATTTCGTACATCTAAAGAGCTTACCAAAGGAAGCGGCAGTCGGGCAGAGCGAATAACTAGTAACTGTTAATATTTACCCGCTTGCGGCTGACACAGGCAAAGAAATTGTATAAAAAGAACAAAATATATTATATATATTTACTAACGAATGTTATTTTTAACCATTACCACTGGCCAGTGAGCTTGGGATTACCCCGGCTCCTGAGCAGGTCCCTCATGTAATCTATAAATCCAATTATTTAGCCTGGAATAATGCATAACAAGTATAATATCAGACATATGAGTATTTTAAAAATGCCTAAAGACGAAACATTGTATACAATGACTGCTAAACCGACAAATCGTATGAACGAGGTGAGGAGAGATAATAATAGAAACTCTGGTAATGAACCCTCACCGGGGGGCTGACAATATATAGGAGGAGCCTGTACAATAGGTTAAAAATTCTGCTGGCAAAACCAAAGCATATACTGAACCACATGTATCGGAATCTAACAGAATACAATAAAAGAAGTAACAGATAATAAAGGACACACAGACCAAACATTCCCCAACTTTGTTCTTTTCTTTCACAATTAGCGTGTATATTGTGCTTCTTTAAAAGATACAAATCTTACTGGCTAAACACTTGCGAGTGCCGTACAAAAAAACTACATCATTTCCACAATCAAAACATTTTTACCGACTAGCTTAAAATTCTGATCAACAATTACGAGTACACAGATTGAAAACACGAATGACAATGATGACGCCACAGCTCAACTACTTGTTCAGTCTTCTCTTGGCAAAGATCTGGTAGATGCCGAGGCCAGCAGACAGGGTACCTATTGCTCCCACCTGAAATGTGGACAGCTTGCCGCCCCAAAGATAGCCCTTGGGCAGTGTGCTGACGGCGTGTACGAAATCGAGGGATATGCGAACGATGGACACCATTTCCAGCCGATGCTTAGCCAGGGATTTGGTATCCAACCTGTGGATTCAGAGGGGTTACAAAGCACTCTTGGATAATATGTAATTGTAACTCACTCGTTTAGGTTTGCAGTGCGGTTTAGTTTGTCCTGATTTAGTGAAAAATTCCTCATTGTTCTGCAATAATTTCAATATTTTTTATTATATTTTCTTAATACGTAGATTCATCATCGATTTCGTACTAACCTCATGAGGTTCAGATATACTGACAGTACCCAGAATATAGAGTTGACGTTGTCCCAGCTGTCCGCATGTTTTACATCCAGAATCTTGTGCTCGGCCAGCCAGCAGACCTTCTCGATGGGATAGTAGAGCAAATCCACAATGTTGGCTGTCACGCCTAGGACAGCCATGATGCGATCAGGTTCATTCTCTCCCAGCCCGTACTCCAGGGCGTACTGAATCATAGGTATATCATCGATCAGACGCAGGGTGGCCCTCGCTCCCGAGATCCTAGAGCTGGCTGTGGCATATCTCTTGGCCAGATCAGGATTCCGCCTGGCATGGTATCCGGCCACTAGTTTGGCGCTGTAACACAACGCCTTCATCACCTGCGGAAATGAGAGAAAATCACTGCTAAATATCATTTATACAATATTATTTTTGCTATATCTTCCACGTATTTTTCCACCATCTCAGTTTACCTTCACTTGACCTGGATTGCCCGCGTCAGCCCTGCAATTTGTGGAATTGCTTGGATGTCACAAACAGATAAAACGCAATCAGCGATAAAAAGAACACAGCGAATGCCACGAACATCTTGTTTGCCGACTGCCAGCGGAGTGCACCTGGGGCTCCTACTCCCAACAGGATGGGTAATGGGTTGTGTGCCACTGTTTACCCATCTATACTACAGTTTATTTGACCAGCCATCAATGAATTATGTAGTTATTCAATACGAAACAAAAAGGTACATTTAAAACGAAGGTTTGTATACACTATTCATTTTAAAAACAAGCTTAATTCTATAGATATAATATTCTCAAAGTTGTATATTATTGGATATTTTTAGTTTTTTTGGAGTCTATAAAAATTACTACCGAATTGAAAACGTTAGAAAATTAAAAGGGAAGATAACTTTGGGAGCCGAAATGTGTACAACCAAAAACCATCATAACTAGGCTAAAAATTTATTAATTTTAAATCGGAAAACTTTCCAATGCTTCTTTTTATCAGGGTTATAAATCAGCATTCGTTTTGAATTCTAAAAAATTAAAGTTTTTGCCAATTTTTGACAATTTTAACTATGTAACCCCTTATCAAATTTTGAATTTTTTTGAAAAAGTTAAATTTTGTTAGATAAAGCTAGATCGACTCGGCTTTTAATGCTGATCATTAATATATATGATTTATAGGGTAGGAAATGAATCCTTCACTGAGTTTCAAGCTTCGGACTAAAATTATTAAGCCCTGCAAGGGTATTATTAAGTCTTACACTTGACAATGAAATATGGTAATTCAGAAATTCTTCTAAATGCAGAAACTATAGTCACGGAAAACACAAATTCAAAAAAATAATACAACTCTTTGAAAGGGTAAAGGCCCCTTGTTTTTTGGTGTGGGTGTTTCCTAATGAATCGCGTGTTCCTCGCCTAAGATGTGGGTTAGTGGGCTAAACAAACCTTTCGCTCGTAACGTATTATCCGCTTTATTTGGCATCGGGTTAACGGTTTGCCGGCTATAGTATTGAACATTATCTCGACTCGAACGCCGCCAAATAGCGACTGATAAGCCAGAAGCAAAGAAACTCATTGCGAATGCTCTTAAAGAAGTGAGGCAAGGTCCAATCTGCAGCTACTTCCTCGTCCAAGACCCCGGCCCAATGCCAGCAGCAGCAGCTTCACCGCAAAAAAACCTGTTGGTTGGCTTTGCCTTAACTTCGACCGAGCCCCCCAATGGACCAGTCCAAAAACAAACCGTCGATATGCCACGATGCATTTTTCAAATTAAGCTTTTTTTGGGAAACACGAATGGAAAAATGTAAACAAACAGGTGTGCGGCAGTTTAGATGGGAAATTGATTTTGCAGAGTGGGGTGTTTTTATATGTTACCTTATCGCGCCCTCCATAGGAATCGATTATATCACAGAATTCGTTCACAAACTTTGTTGTGCTGGTCATAATTGCTTTTGTTAAAGGGCCAGGTACCGATTTAAAGCAGGTAAAAACTCCAACTGAAACACAACAGCACAAACGGAAGAAATTGTCGTGCGCGGGCGGGGAAACAACAACTATCAGCTGAGGTGCGCCAGTGATAACAGCCTAGCTGCACCTTTCACAATGTCGAAGGCTAGAAAATAGCTAGCTCATAAGAATTTATATGTGAACATTTACTGATGATAATTAAATATTTTACTTTAGTGATTTGAAAACTTTAAAGATGAATATGTTACCAATTAAATATTGGAAATGTTATAGGTTATTATGTTTTTAAATGTTTATTTGAATTTGGCTTTTATTTATCGTTAAATATAGCTACTTTCCCAACACTAACCACAACAAATGCTGGTGAACAGCTGTTTACCGCTGCGCACCGATAACCGCCGCACTGTTATCGGACGCTGGACGCACGCAGGACGGGATCAGGATACGGAGACGAATTTGGCGAGGATATCACACAACCATGAGCTTGCCCAGCGCCAGCAGCAGCAGCCACGCCCATGCCCATGCAGCGTCGCCCGTTTACAACAATAGCAACAGTAACAATAACAACAAGTCGAGTGCGGGCAACAAGAAAACTTCCTCGAAAAACGATTTTCTGCGCTGCGCCGTCGGCCTTCTGCTGAAGCAGAAAAACTACGTGGTAAGTGATGGATTTACTCTCCACATTCTTCTATTCAGCGATCTAATGGCCTCCGCGGTTTTATTAATTCAGGGCAACGAACGCTTCCGCCGCTCGGACTTTCTTTTGCTGCAGAACAAGCAGCAGTTCGCGGTAAACAAAATGTTGGACACAGATCTGCACGGAGGGAACAGCTTCACCTACTCGAATGTACAGGTGATCACTAACAATCAGCACACGGTGGATCAGCAGTTCGGACGCTTCTCGCAATTTGTGGAGGCTCAGGCAGAGCCGCTGAGATTGGAGATGAAGCGGTTTTACGGACCAATGCTCTGTCACTTTTATCTGGATTTGTTAAAGGCGCGCGAACCCAGAGGCGCTGTGGAACTGCTGCGAAAGTACGCCCATTTGGTGGCGCCTGTGGACCTCTATGACGCTCCACCGCCCACCAAGATCAACGGTTGTTCCACCTCTGCCTCCGAGTCCACTTTCCACATACGGTTCGCTAGAGAAGCCCAGGACACTGGGGACACGGAACTCGACTACTTCATGCGTCTAGTGCAGATTCTGAGCGGTTGCACACGGCTGGAAGTGGCCGAGTCGGACGAGACGGTGGCGCACTTTCGCTCCTCTAAGTACGAATTGCACACCTCGGCCCAGGTGGTGGAGAGAATGTGTGCCTATTTGCAAAGGCGAGGTCATGTCTTGATAATGAACCTGCTGTACACTTGGCTGCAAATACATATCGTGGAGAATGAGCAACGTGCTTTCAGCGAGGATCACCTTCTAGGCTTGACGGACGACCTGGACGGTGAAGAGGCTGAGGAGGAGGTGGCAGCCAAACCAACAGTTTCCGTCACTCCTCGGGGAGATCACAAGCCGACAAAGCCAACAATCGAAAAATCTGCAAAAAAACGACCTGCGGATGAGCCGAACATCAAGCTGGAGACTGATATAAAGCGGGAGATCGAAGCGGAAGAAGCCGCGGAATCTTGCAAACCCCAGCTCAATGTAGACGCCTGCCTGGACAGCGTCAAATCAGCCACCGAACAGATACTCAAGGCCCAAGCAGAGCTACCGCGCATTCTCAGGATTAGCGAGCGCTCCCGGGGCCTCACTTCCGCGCACCTGGATTCCAGCGAGTGCCATCTGCTCGCCGGCTTCGACAACTCCGCCGTGCAGCTGTGGCAGCTCAACCAGCACAGCTGCCGCGGAAAGAGCTTCTACAGACGCTATCCTCAATCGCAGTGTCCTTGGGAGCTAAACAACTGCGTAGACCAGATGGAAATGGAGCAAGATGCGGAGGATGAGGACAGCAGTGAAGAGGATGTTCGTTGTTCTGAGGAAGAGCGAAGAGAACGCAACAGAGCACGGCACAGCAAATACACTGACAATTCCTAGTAAGTTTATTCCCTAACCGTTGAAGCCTCTTAAGTATCTAACTTCCTCTACAGCAACGAATTCGGCGGCCTGCACCTTCGGGGTCACACGAGAGGCGTCACTGACGTGCGTTTTTCAGCCCATTATCCCCTCATGTATAGTGTGTCCAAGGACGCCACTATGCGGTGCTGGCGGGCGCATAATTTGCACTGTGCCGCCATATACAGAAGTCACAACTACCCAATCTGGTGTTTGGACGAGAGTCCAGTTGGCCAGTACGTCGTCACGGGCTCAAAGGATCTCACTGCTCGCTTGTGGTCGCTGGAAAAGGAGCACGCCCTCATCATCTACGCCGGTCACACGCAGGACGTTGAGGTGGGTAATGAACTAAGAACAGGCAACGATGATATAATGAATCTTTTCCACAGTGTGTTGCTTTCCACCCGAATGGCAACTATATAGCGACCGGCTCAGCGGATCACTCGGTGCGCCTTTGGTGCGCAACCAGCGGGAAGCTTATGCGCGTCTTTGCCGACTGTCGTCAGGCTGTTACCCAGTTGGCCTTCAGTCCAGACGGAAAGATGTTGGCCGCCGCCGGCGAGGAGACCAAGGTTCGCATTTTCGATCTGGCGGCCGGAGCGCAGCTGGCTGAGCTCAAGGATCATGCAACGAGCATCAGTTCCCTTTCCTGGAGTTTGCACAATCAGCATCTGGCCACAGCCTGCACCGATGGCAGTCTGCGATTGTGGGACATCAAAAAGCTGTCGCCCATGGGGTACTTTAGCCATTGTACAAACTTCAATGGTTCTTTTATTAATCTATATAATACGATTCCACAGGGACACAGGCGCTGGAAGCTCTTCGTCCGCATCGACTTCATACTCATCAGCTACAACGAATCGTGTGCTAACTCTCAATAGTTCCTGCCAGCGGCTGGTCGACGTTTTTTACGCGCCCAGCAAGACGTTGTATTGCATTGGCACCTGAATCAAATCAACAAGATGAAACACTGCAGACCGAATGGATTCCCACTCGCTGTTAGTTTATGTTTCAAAATAATAATTTATTTGTAATAAGTCTGTATAATATTACTGTTACTATTGTGTGAAACAACTCGTTTGCTTGTCTTTACCTTTACATATATATAATATTTGCCCGCTTTTTAACAATTAACAGAGGAGTCTGCTCTTAAATAGCTCCGAGTTTAATTTTTTTTGTTTCCGTTAGCTTACTAGTGGAATAAACGACTTTGATTACAGTGTAATGCCTTTACATGCTTCGCTTCCTTGTCGCATGATGAATATTTTTATGAATATAAATTTCAGTCTAGTAAAATGATATAAAACAAGAAGATAACTAACTTCGGTAAGCCAAAGTTTATATACCCTTGCCTTTTGCACTTAAATAATATGAGCGAATCGGAAATCAATATTTAAAAAACTCATAAATAAGCCAATAAGGCATTAATTTTAATTCGGAAAGCTGTTCTGTGCTTGTTCTTAGTAGATTAACAAAGCTGCATACTCAGTTTTCATGGCTTAATCGACTCGGCATCGATGCTGATCAAGAATATATATGATTTATAGGGTCGGAAATGACTCCTTCACAGCGTTATAAGCTTTTGACTAAAATTATAATACCCTGCAAGGGTATAATATATGTATGTATGAAGAAACTTTGGCCAGTCTCCCAGAAGTTCGATAAAAATACAAAAGAACGACATGGTTTTCTATAAAAAAAATAACGATTGTGTATGACATTTCGCAGGATTTACAATTGAAATATATTTTGTGTTAAGGGGATTTACATATTTAAAGAGAACCATATCAGAAAAAAAATGTGTAATTTCATTTGATCGACTAAGCAGACTAAGAAGTATACAATATTTGTATATTTACTTCCAGAATATAATCGGTTCGACTAGATGAGCGATGCATCTAAAGGCAATAAAAACTGTACGTTAATAATTTAGGAAGTTCAATTAGGTATATGAATATGTAAGATTTTGCGTTAATTACACGCATTTATATACACTATATTGGATTTTGGACACTCGCACAGCCCTCTAGCACAAATGAACATTGAACGTACATAAGTTTAAAAGTGAAGGTGGAACCGCTCGCCGCTGTTTTCCAGTTGCAGTTCCATAGAAGGATTAACCTGAAAATAATCTAATTTCGTTGAAAATCTGCGCAGAATGCTACAAAAACATAATCTTATTCAATATACAATCGTTATCCGTCTCAGAGTAAACTTAATTTTTGTAAATATGTATAATTAATGTGAGACAAAGACATGAATAAATAATAAATAGCATGCGCGGTATGCTTTAGAGACAGTAGCATTCGGGTTGCTCGGCGCACTGGGTAAGACAAAGTCCAATACAATCTCGCTTTACTAAACCCCAAAGTTTCTGCCAAATCTGGTTGGCTTATCCTTCTGTTGTTGATGAACAATTTGAGTATAAGGATTGTAACTATAACGAATAGACGCATCTTAATATGCTTGCCAGTTTGTCTGCTGCTTTCAATCGTTTATCGCCTCTGCCGTCCGCGCATTAGGTCTTGCAAGGTCTTGGCCATCAGCGGTGCCTTCTTGTTCCGCGGCACGGCAGCTGCGAATTACAAAAGAATTCATTTGTAAAATATGCTATAGCAGTAGCTACTGAATATCTAAAACTAATTTCTTGTAACTTATTTAATTCTTTTAATTGACTCGTTATTGAGAATATTCATTGAACTCACCAACTTGGGCAGTGTCGCGGGTAGCGGCCAAGACACGCAGACGGGCATCCCCCACCTTGGCGGCGTTAGGCGTTACGCTGGACAAAGCGGCTACTCGGGCAGCTGGTGTGGCAATGAGTTTGGATTTGGTGCCATATTGCTCCTGCTTTCGCATCACACTGCGCGGCGGCTTCACCATGGAGTCCACAAAGGCGAGCTGTGTTTTGCGCACGGGCGCCTCGCTGATCTTTTGTGAGGCCTTAATACTTTCGGCCAGGCTACTAAGCTTACGATCTTTCTCCTCTTGGCAGCGCTGCAAGGATAATAAAGATGATATTCTGACTAAGAGAGGGAACTTATCTAAGGGGATGTCCAAGAGACACTTTACCAGGAACATTTCGCGCCACGTTTCCATCTCCTCACGTCGCTGACTACGACAGTGTCGCTGGACATGCTGCTGCCACAAGATGTCACTGTCGTCCATTAGATAAGGGTTGTACTCCTCGATGTTTAGCAGTTGCTGTGGCGTGGCGCGTTCCAGAACGGTTCGAAGGATCTCAAAGGGCACGCCACCAGTGTATTCGAGCGCTGCAACAGGATAAGTATAAGTTTTTCATAGTTGAGTAAATTAATAATTTTAACCTTAAAGAAGCTACAGGACAGACATGAAGTTTCTTTGTTTCCTTTTATGTTTAGTAATGTTCTGCTTTAAGGTATGACTTAGTTGTCAGATGTTAGCTATTAGCAAGCTCTTACCATCAAGGTTCTTTTGGAGAATGCGCGTGCACAGATCAAAAAGTGAGGGCACCTGCAGGAGTTGGCCAGTTCTTACGCCCGAGTAGATCTTGGTGCTAGATAAAAATCGAATATTAAATACCAATGGAATGAAGACGTCTTTAACATACCGCATGGTTTTTGAAGAAATGCCCTGAGCCAAAGCCTCAGACTCATTGAATCGAGAAGTCTGGGACCTCTGGGTACCGCCCTGGTTGAAAACCACGTCCATCACGGTTTGATTCAAGGGCAAAGGCTTGTAGTTGTTGGAAATAGTTGGCAACTCCAAGGCAATGCTCGGATCCAAGGGTTCCAGCTTGGCCGACGATGCTAGTAACTCGGGTTTCTAATGGGATTATATTATTCAATTGGATTAACTCTAGTAATGTATATTTTTAATTACTTTTGTGGAGGACGGACGACTGCTCATGAAGGCATCTCTAGAGGTTGCCGCCGGAGCGACTGGAGTTGACGAGGATGAGGTTGAGGCTGTTATCTTAGCGACAGACTTGCTCTTGCCGCTGGTGCTTTTCTTGTTGCTCATGGGCATGTTAAGCATGCCGAGAACGTCGTCAAAGTTGGCGCCCATGCTCGAGTCAAAGCCATCGGGGGAGTCCTCTTCGGACTTAGCTTTCGTTTTTGGTATCTTTGCCTTGCTCGAATCCTCGTCGGCACGTTGTGGGCTGTGTGACCGCTTAGATGACTTCGAAGACGACTTGTGGTGTTTGCTTGACTTGTCCTTGTGCGGCTTTTCCTGTTAATTGACGACAGAGGTCTTGGGTAACAGCATCAATTTATTTTCAGTGTACTCACCTTTTCATGCTTGGATTTGCTGTGCTCGCTTTTATGTGCATCGGATTTGCTGCTCTTATTACTGTTTGACTGACTGGAATCCCTGGACTTGTGGTCGCCATTCGACCTCTTTTCCTTGTGGTCCTCCTTGTCTTTGTCCTTGTCCCTTTCCTTGGATTTGTCGTGGCGACTGCTCTTGTGCTTTCTGTTCGAATCCGACGAGCTCTTGGAGTGACTTTTACTGCTCCCGCTTCGCTCCTGCTTGGAGCTCTTATCATTTCGTTCTTCATGCCTTGATCTGTGCTCGCTAGTATGTCGCTCCTCGCCACTGGATGAGTTACTGCCCTTGTTCTCCTGGTCAAGATCCTCGTCGCTGGACCTTCGACCGTTTGACTTTCCGGAGTCCTCTTCCTGACTGCTGGCCGCTAGTGGGACCTCTGACGAGGAGCCCTCTTCGGCGGTCACCATGGCTTTCCATTTTGTAATGAGCGTTTTGGCAGACTGGCCCACTTCCCCGTTGAACTTGCGCAGGGCATTCACGGTCTTGCCAATGCCGGTCTCCTGCAGGTGCTCGAATTTGATGGGGAGGTTGAACAGCTTGTTCATGCAATGCACCAGCTGTGGAGTTGACCAAAGAGACGGCTGGGTTAGATGGCGATCTCAAGTAGATGGTACAGAACGTGAGTTTGTGAGGTTAATGGAAAGCAGACTATGTTTCATGATTGACCTTGCTGACAGTACTTAATTTTTTTTGCTTAGTGTTTACTTTGGAAGGGGACAAAAATTTACATAAATAAAGAAGGGAGTTCATGGGAATTATTTTTTATTTGAAAATTTAATTGAAATGTTTTCACAACTGTATTTTCATGAAATTTCCAAGTGTTACTCGTGGATTGAAGAACTGCATTTGTTGTTGTTTTCTAATTTTGTTAAGATTTGAACGTAGATTATACTGACTCTCCGAGGTTTCATCATAGTTTTGAGCAAATTTGATTGTATTAAATCAAATTAAATTATAGAAATAGTTTGAGATAATTTTCCTTAAGTATCACATTTCCAAACAAAACAAAATAATCTTGCAAATTAGTTATATTACATAGTAACTATAGCTCCCTGAGCTCTTTTCGTTTTTTTCTAAATTACAAAACATATTATATACATCGCTTTCTCCACATATGTAAGTATTTTGTCTGGGTCTTGACTTAAGGGCGGTTTTTTGTTGTCTCCGTCTCCGACCTTGAAACTTACTTGCACTTAATATTTAATTTGTTTTGAATATTTAATTAACATTTAAGTAGATAAAGAGTGAGGAGGTAAAATAGACTAACAGAATTTATAGAACACAAATAAGAAAGGGTAGAAAGGTAGACAGGTAGAAAGGATGAGGAAACGTAAGAGCATAAGAGGAAACATAGGAGCGGTGGCAGGAAGAAGCAGGCGTCGCATCTCACCCGCTTTTCGTTGTCGCTGTGCTTCTCAATGCTGCGCTGGTAGTGCCGCACCACGTCCGCCAGATTGCTAGTGGAGTTCATGGTTTCGCCCTGCGACCAGCAGTCACTCGCTTTCCAACCGCGAAGAAGAAAGAAAAATGGCACGCAGGCAGCTGAGACAGCTCCGTCGACCTTTCTTACTTTTTTTCAGTTTACTTTGCACCAGGTAGCCATACACATACACATGCACTTGCACACTCACACACGGACGGCGGTGCCCAAGCACACACACGTACACGTTGGAGAAGGCTCCTTTCGCGTGGATACCGAGGTTTTAACAAATTACAGCGGCCTATAACAAATAATTAGCATTTTCTTCTAGACGGCAACGGAAGGTGAAATGAGAATTGCTTTTAGCTGCGTGGCGCTTGACAACACTAGGGAAACAGCTGTCAGCTAGAGTTGTTAAGTGTTGCAAATTTATCGACTAAAATAATACATTTTTAAATCTTTTAAATAAAGTAATGTGGAAACCATGTTGTAGTTCTTTGTTGTAAACTTAATATGATCCAATTTGTTTAGTTTCGGTCTATTGATTAGCTTTGGCCTGACAATAATTGATATTGCTTATCGGTTATCGATAGCCGCTGCTCCAGCTGATTGCAGCTCCGCATCTATTTTGTTGTCACTTGGCGCGAGAATTTCTATTTATTGGGCTTTTGCGTTAAATAAAACCAAATTGTTAGCTCCCCAACAATATGTCTGACGATGACTTTGATATATTTAGTGCCGTTTGCAGGCGGCCTCCCAGGGATGGTGAGTTTCAAACGAAATAAATGTCCAAAGATTTATATATTCTTCCGTTTCAGCTGTGCCCATCGCTTCCTACGATAATGCATGCAACGACTCCTTCTCCAAGGAGGTGGACTACGACTTCATAAGTGCCAACACAAACAAAACGAGCAGGGTTAACAAGGCCAAGGGAGTAACGAAGACCCAAAAGAAAGTACAGAAAAGCAAAAAGAAAGAAGAGATCCTAAAGGATGAACTTCTATTTCCGGAACCTGCTAAGAAGCAGCAAGACTCTGCACGAGCCCTATCCCCCGTCTCCCAGTTGATCCTGGAAATGGATGAGAAGCAGACCAAGGTCGATGATCCTCCGTTGATTCCGGAAGACAGCGCACCTGTGGCCAGACGGACGCGCTCTTCGCTGGGCAAGAAGGAAATAGTTCCAAATCCGGTGGAGACCGCCTTTCCAGTCGTAAAACCGAAAAAGCGGAATACTCGGGCCAAGAAAACCCCGGTGGCGGTTGCAGGCAGCAGAGTTGAAGATGTATCTGCAACTGTTGTTTCCTCCTTGAACAGCATTGTTAATGTAAGTTGATCCTCGCTACAAATTCCAAGACCTAGTTCTCACTTTACTTTTATGTCGCAGAGCTTTAGCCACGCCACAAGGCGCTCTCAAATGGCCGAAATAGCAGCTCGATCTCAAGTGTTGGACAGCATTGATTTAGTATCAGCGGTGCCTCCACGCGTAGAGGGATTTGTAAGTTGAAGGGTAAGAGGCCTCCAGGATCAAACTAATTATTGTGTCTCCTAGGTTAATCTCGACTCCGATGACGAAGGCCAAGCCCCTGCAGTCGTTGAAGAGGCCAGTGTCTTTGATACGGACAATCCCACAATAGAAGTAGCCCTGTCCTGGTAAGTCTTAATGTAACTGGCGTCTTAAAGTGTTACCTCTAATAATTTATAATTCCAGGCTTGGAGAGATACAGGTTTACAAGCTGCGCCAGCATCAGAAGTTCAAGCACATGTTCAAGGAGGTGGCTGAACGTAATGGCGTGGATGAGGGTAATGTTTCCATGGACATGTACTATAAGTTCGTTGGTCCCGAAGACACGCCTCACAGCATCGGTCTCAAAAGTTTTCACACACTAAGTGGGTGTACCTATGACTCATTATTGTACGTTGTGGGTTTATAATACTTTGTTGTTTCAGGTGGTCATGTCACAAAGTCGGGCAATAAGATAAATTCCAAAGGTGACAACCATCAAGAAGACCTATCGAAGAAGCCAAGAAAATTCCAACTAAAAGTGCAAGCGGCCAAATGGAAACAACCCCTGGTGGTGGCCTTTAAAAAGAAAGATCCTTTCAAGATACTATACATCAAGTGTGCCGAGGAGCTGAACGTTGAGGCCCGTCTCATTAAACTATAGTGAGTAGTATTGACAGCGAATTATTGCAAAGAAGTTTAATTTATCAAATTTTTCCCTAGTTTTGATGGTGATCTGCTGGACCCGGATGATACTCCCAAAAACCAAGAAATGGAGGGCAATGAAATGATTGATCTGGAAATGAAGGCTTAAGTGTTATAACTATCTTATATTTTGATTTCTTTAAATTTTGAATGCCTTATTTATTTTTTCCTTTTTTCACAAGAGTTAATTAAAGCCTGTTACTTAAGAAATCTTTTGAAATATATATATGTGGTAAGAAGTGTATTAGCAAGTCGTTGAATGGCGGAAATTTTACCATCTAGAACAGCAAGTAGAGCGGCGGACGCAACTTCCAAAAACCCTCAAGCATTCATTATACACCCCTAATATTTTGTTTATCTAGCATATAGCGCACTCACATAGAGTTGGAAACAGATCCCAAATGGTTGTTTATATTGACAGGACGAGAGCGGATGCTGCTGTGGAGTTTTTCCCGTTTGCGGGGGGTGGGTTTGGGGTGGTGCAGTCCGTGCTGCGGGGTGTGTGGAATAGTTGCCTTGTGCCACCGGCTTTGGTGTGCGCTCTCCGGAGATTCTCTCGCAGTTCTCTCCCCTATCCTTGAGCAGTTTCCCTTGGAATTTCACTGCACAAATTCTGACACAGCAGGAGAGGGTCTCGCAGAGAGAAAAGCTGCGATGGGAAAGCTTTTCTGCCTCTCTTGGTCAGCTGAAAGGACTTTTCTCGACAGTCGCTTACTTTTCAATCAGAAAGAGTTTATCCTTCGTGCTTGATGGACGCATTTTGTTCGCGCTTGCTCTGTACACCGAAGAAAAACCAAAAGTCCCTTTCAATCGCATGAAACGCATTGTTATTGAACTCCGCCGTTTGTTTTCCAATTTGTTTTCCCCCGTACCCGAAACCGAGTTCGCTGCTCCTTGGTTGTGTGTTGTGCCGAGTGAAAAGCCAAGTGAAACGGAAACGAAAATCATTCCATATTTCTGAAACATATATAGTATAGAAGTGCTTGTCTATTTGGCGCCTAAACAGACCGAAGGATACACCCGGCTGGATGCATCTGCTCTAGGTAAAACATGCTCTGACTCCTGTTGTTTGCACTGTAGCATTGTAGACACATCCTGATGCCCTCGGAGCTATTTGTTAATACCCCCATCAGCCACCTCAACCTCCATTCGTCCAAGCAGCCAGCCATCCGTTGGCATTGACAGTGACGCTGACGCTGACTCTGACAAATGTGTTTGTCATGTTTACCTTGTGGCTTAAACAAGTTAATTGCCGTGCGCCAGACACAAAAACCAGCAGCAAACACACAGCTCCTGGCTCCAACTCCTTCCGGCTGTACATGTGTCTCCCCATCAATTATTCACTCTGATTGTGGGCATTAAATATTGATGTCCTGGCCCCGGGATATGTCCTGCTTATGAGCTGGAAGATCGCATAGAACTAGCTACGAACCTGCCTGGTGCTAAAAATAAAACGTGACACCTGCAAAAAGAGGTTGCTCTCTGTGCGTACCTGACCATCGTCCGTCCTTCGTCTAACGTCCACTGAGCCAATGGCCTTGGCCCAGGAGAGATTGCTGCGAATGGGTCTCGGAGGGCCCTCAATTCAGTTCTGATTGCTTTAGTCAGCAATCGAATGCTATACCGCATCCCCTTCAACCAAATGACCTTCAATTGCCTTGCATATGCTCGTGCGAAATTAATAACGCGTCGAGATATTTTCCCAAAAGCTTTTCACAAAAGCTGCACAAATGCAGCTGCATCCAAGGGCTGCTGGGCCCCTAGTGGTGGAGTGAGGTTTAGAAAACATAATGCATAAATCCGCTTGGCCATTTGCCATTTTTATTTATATTTAGCGCCCCGTGCGACAGACTGGAAGTAACGTAAAACGTAACAAACGACACATTGGGGCACAATTTGCACACGTGTCGCATACGCAATACAGACACACATATAGCCGGCTATTTTTGGCTGCATTGTCCTCTTGGCCAGGATACATACATGGCATGTCCGAGTGTGTCCTGTCCCTGGCCGCTCCTTTTCGGCTACTTTGTATGCAGCGGGCGCAACAAGCAAAAAAAAAAAAAGAAATCAAAAAACAAACTGACGCCATTTTGCCATTAATCCCGACCACTTTTATGGCCAAGCCAACAAGCAAACTTGCCCCTTTCCGGTATACCCTTTAATACGAGGAGGTTTGATACGTTTATGGTTTTAGTTCAATTAAAATTAGATAATGTTAAGAAATATCCTTGAACTATAAAATGTAAGAAATGCCATATAACTAATAATACCATTTATTATTTATAAACTCCTTGTATTGATTATTTGTGAACGAGTGCTTTTATTATTCAGAGGTCCTCTCCGCACATCATTATCCATAATAATGTGTTAATTAGGGCAATTTAAAATGCCATAATATTAATATCTGATGTCCTAAAAGTGCTGACACAAATAACCCGTACAAGAGAACCTTTACATTAGCCAGTGGGGTCAAGTTGAGGGTTAATGTTTCCACTACATTAAAGAAAACAAAATAATTAAGGTTCATTCAATATACCCAAGTAAATATTAGCCTGTTTTTGTATTCAACTTCCGGGCGACTTAATGAACCATATAAACAACTATTCGGATAAGTTTGGCGGAAGCAAAACAAAATCGCATAATGTTAATAGCTTAAGTTATCCTATCACGGAAAACCTTGGTTTGTCCTCTCGGTACTCTCAGGTTTTCTGTGACATAATTCAGGGTATTACAAAATCGCCACATTACTTAGCCTAGGTTTACATATGTATTTCTGTGTTTGCTCTATTCATTTTGGCTTTTTGCCTTTTGTTTTTCGTCCTTTGTGCTTTACTTTGTTGCGCCATGTTTATTTTTGAGTTGGCCCAGCCCCTAGCCGAGGAGGATTGCTAATGGTGGAACGCTTTGTGGGCAGTTTGATGGGTGGGAAGTGCTTCAAATGGCTGAAAGGTTTATGGCCCGTCCAGCTCCCAGCTCCCAGCTCCCAGCTTTTAGCTACCGGTTACCAGTTACCAGTTACCAGTTACCAGTTCCCAGTTCGCATTTCGCCTTTCCTATAGTTCTTTATTACGCTGTGTGTTTTACCAACAGCAAACACAATTGCCCTGGCCCGCCTCGACTTTTGTTTCAAGTGTTGCCCCATCAAATGGAGTGGCCATCGCTCGACTCCGGATCCGCATTCGCAGCCGCGTTTTCCCTGCTCGATTTAACTGGGTCTAGTGCTGCTACCTAATCCTCATCCTTTTGGTAAAGAAGATACACAGAGGAAAATAGAATGCAGCTTGAAATAAAGGTTAAAATGTGTTGTTAAAAAGTAGCTATTACTTAATTAAGGATAAGAAACTGGGCAGAGTATTTATTATATATTATTTCATAAGTATTCTCATTATTTTAACAACTTGACTAGTATTTATTGTGCCCAGTGTGCTCGAGCATTGAACTGCCTTGGCGCACCTCTTCGATACTTTGCCTTCTGGGAGGCGGAGACCGATGAAGAGTCCCTGACCAGGAGATGGCTCCTTCGGTCGCTTTGAGCTTTGTGCTTTGGCGGGTGCTGCCTCTCGCAATTACTGTCGACTGAGCTCCCAGAGGACACGGACACAGTTCCCCTGCCATCACCTCACCTCACACATTTGATGTGCATTTGCATTTGTGGCCCTGAGGCTATCGAATGCTTTTTAGCTCACGACACTGTCATTGTTGCAAGTCCCCCATGCTTTCCTCCTTATACTACTCCGCTGGAGTGCAGGAGGAATGGAGTCCGAGTGCTTTTATTAAAGTTTCGTTTTGTTTGCCGGCAACAATGTCTCTGGCAGCGACAACCGACGCCCACAAGTGGCGACATCAGTGGCAGGCTCCTCTCTCCGAGGCTCCGACACAGGAAGTTGCAGTCTAACAATAACCAGAAGAATGTTGAAACCTGGCAACATTTCAAATATATATGTATCCCATTTCTTATTAATTTTGTGCAGTCAAATCGAAGGATGAAGGGGGGAAATTCCCTGGGCAAGATTGTTATTACTTCTTTGTCCTTTGTATTATTTATGGAGTGTGATCATATTGCTAGCTTGACATAGATACTCAGAGTTTTCAAATGCATTTCACTTCTTGTTTCTTATGACTATTTATCCTACTACTTTAAAATTTAGTTCTTCAATATCTTAAATTTGCTTTTGTTTTCAGCAGAACCACACCAGAAACTGGACCAATTTATGAACAATATCGAAAGGAAACACAACAATCAACTCTACTCACCGACCTTTCTAGTCTTCTAGCAACAATCGAAACGATAAATCTTTTTTAAAACGACCCTTTATTTTTGGGACAAAACATATCTCTAGACAGAGCTCGGAGACAACTCAGGTGGATTAGCCCCCGATAACCCTTAATCCCAAGGATCCAGCACCTAGTGCCCACTTCCCAAGGTATCCCGGAGAGTGCCCCGAGGCAAAGGAATCCAAGACGGCGCCCCTTAAACCGCAAGCCTATAAAATTGGACGAATGTTATGTTGTGGCTTCTGCTGTGGCAATATGTCGAAGCGAGATTACAAAGTGGCCACCACCGATGGCATCGAGCTGGAGCCGTTGGGCGGCGAAAAGAGCGACAAGGATAAGGACAAAGACAAGGAGAAGCAGACGAATGGCGTCACTTTTGGTAAGTCCCCTGTGACAAGGATAATTCTCTGGGTTGCATTGCAATTTGCGTTTAAAAGAAAACCGAAAAAAATATTCCTAATTAACGCTCTTGAAACAAGATCCCATTTATGATCAAAGCACACGGGGAGACAAGTGCATAATTGCACTTGAGCATAATCCGACGCTCCGCGCAATTTAAACTCCTTCAGCCTCCGGTCTCCAGTCTTCTGGCCAATTTTGGGTGCGCCCCTCTGGGATTTATGCATCAAGTTGTTTTCTTAATTAAGCCGAATGCAAAACAAAAGCATTAAAAATGCCACGTCTTGCATTCGTATATACCTCATACGCCCCGTTGGCCAGGCCGCCAGGCAGCAAAAGCAAAGTAAATGAATGTCAGCATCCATCTCATTCCCTTTCCTTTCCCAGTCCACCCATTCACGCTGGGCACAATTTTCGAGATGCCTTCGCATTCGCCTCGCTCTCCTCCATCTGCCTCCAGCCTGCCTGCAGCCAAGTTGGCGGAATTTTCCGCTTTGACAGATGTCCACCGGAACCGGCAACGTGCTCCGGCTGGCAAAGAGGCCACCGCCAGATAGACAGGCCAGCGGGGAGGCGGACGCTGATGGCGGCGACACAAATATTCCCAAGTGCTCTTTAAGCTGCCACCGATTTTCAGAAAATTTTACGCTTCTCCGGAGTTTGGCGGCGAATGAAAATGGTCCCCGGGGGCCATCGATTGCCGTAATGTGTCTCCGCCAATGAAGGGGTTCTGTCTGGGAAATCAATTGTGAAGCGGTGGGAAGCGGATGGAAGTTATGAAAATATACTTAATCCTGACAACCAGAGTATCGCTTGTCATCTTCTTAAATAATGGATGAATAAAAAACTATTTTATGGGTTCTTTAAACCCATTAAATTCTCAAAATTTTAAGTTCTGAATATAAATTTAAGATCGCGAGTCGACCTCTATTATACCTCCCACCCATATCGTTTTGGAGGACGTCATCGATATCAAGCGATGAGCTAAATACAAACATATGCAAATCATGTTGACTTTATCAAGGCGACAAATCGTGGCCACTTGGGCATGCCGTGGGCCAAAAGTGGGCCACAAGATACGCGCCCAGTTGCCTTCGCCTTCGGAATGGATTCCAACTGCTTCATCCTCTCATCTCTCACCGTCACTCCTTTCGCTACTTTGGTTAAATCAGTGTCACGGGAACAGGACGTGGACGTGTGCTCGTGTCCCAACCGCCAGGCAAGCAATAAAGGATGCATAAAGTGGAGTAACCACTTGACTCACCCACGGCAGCCGCACCAGTGTTTACCTTTCATGTAAGTCAGCTTAACCGGCATGTGGTGACTAAATAAAGATATTTGAGTTCTTAGGCGAACAGGTGAATTTGTATACTGGGTACAAGGCCAACTGAGAATGTATGAAACAGGCAAAAGAAGGCATCTCCGTGCACATTTTATATATATATTCTTCTTCACCAATCTAGTTGATTTAGCCATGTCAAAGAACAGATTCCAGACACTATATTATTTTATATTTAAGAAGTGAAGTTACAAATTTTTGGTAACAACAAATCGAATTTAAAATTTCGCCACGTAAAATAAATTATGACTTTTATACCTTTGTAGGGTCTTATTATTTTGGTCAGATGCTTATAAATCAGTGTAGAAGTCATTTCCGACCCTATAAAACATATATATTCTTGATCAGCAACAACAGGCGAATCATTCTAGCCATGTTCGCTAAAAAATAAATTGTCGATATTTGTTAGATTTTTCCAAAAAATGATAAGGGGTTACATCAATAAAAAATGCCAAAATTTTACCAAAAATTTAATTTCTTAATTTTCAAAACTGAGTATGTAGATTTATTAACCTAGAAATATTAAACATAGGAGCGATTTCCGAATTGAATTTAAAGCATTTTTGGTTGAGTTATGAGTTTGTTAAACTTTGATTGGTCGATAAAAATTGTCATATAAAAATATTTATAAATATCAAAACAAAGAATGCGAATACTTTTGACAAAAACTTAGGTATATTTTAATTTATGATTTCTTAAAGAGAATCCTTCACGGGGTGCCTTCGGAGACAGGCACCCACGAAAGGGTTAACGGTGGAGCCTCGATGGCAACGTTGTCGGCTGATGTTGATAATTGCAGGATGCGTTGGGTTGATTGCAGGCTGAATGGGCTCACACACGACACACACACTCACACACACATATAGGCCTAGGCGAGCACTCGAGGCGGGGCTTGACTCAAATAAAGAAATCCTGCCTATCCCGGACTGCATCAGCGAGATAAAATGGGTCCACAAGAAACAATTGAAGCGGCAAGAGCCTTGCGCTGCATGCCAAAGTGTGGCATGCAGCTGGGCCCCTTCTATAATATTTTCCTTCTAGTTTTTTTTACTGGTGTGCCTGAGCGGATGAGTGAAAGTAAAGGGATACATAGAAATGAAATGTGTTTTTGGGTCAGGCAACTTCAAACTCAGTCAGAAAGTGGGAGCAGCTTGGGAACAGGAACAGGAACAGGACCCCCACCGGACGGTTGGCGGAAGACGGAGCGGATGAGGAGTGCTGGAGGGAGACTGGCAAATGGAAAATGGGAAACTGACAAGCGAGCGAGCCAAGTCAACCCGTCAACCCGTCAGAACGTCGGGAAAGCAACAATTTATTGTTGCGAAATGGCGCTGGCGAAACACAATTAAATGCAACTACAAAGAACACAAGGATCCCTCAAGCTTTTTTCCCGCCCCTGCTTCTCACACACACAGCCTCCCACTGGGCGCGTAATTAAATGGAAATGGAAAATATTGCCCACGGGCCCCTCAAAACACAACACTCGTACTTGTTGAGGCACTTGAAGCCTTGCCAAGCCGCATGCATCTGGTTTTTTATTTCAACTGTGCCATGTAGCCTACCCCTGGGCGCAGAAGGGGTCGCTGAGGGTGCTATATATATACATATATCCTAGTAATGCCTAGATATTTGATGCAGTTCCAGAAGATCTTGGAGAGGATAGAAGCGCAAGCACAGAAGCTTCAACAATAACATTATCTTGTGCAGGGGATTTTCTTAAAAACAAAATAAGCTAAAAACATGATTCAAAAGATAAGTTAATATTAAATCAGAAATAAAACTAATTTGTAATTTTAATGAAAAGGGGAAAAATATCATAACTAAGCCAAAAATTCATTTAATTCAATTCGGAAAGCTTTTCTGTGCTAGTTTTTATAAGGCTAACAAATCTGCATACTCAGTTTTCAAATTTCAAATTTTGTGTCAAATTTTGACAATTTTAATGATGTAACCCCTTATAAAATTTTCAATTTTCGGGAAAATGTTAAAAATTTATTTCTTGACCGGACATGGCTAGAACGACTGGGCTGTTGATGCTGATCAAGAATATATATGGTTTATAGGGTCGGAAATGACTCCTTCATTACGTTTCAAGCTTCTGACTTAAATTATATTCTTCAAAAAGGTATAAAAACAGACCATTTTTCTGAAAAATCAAAGTTTTTCGGACATCATAATTAAGCCGAAATCGCATTGATTTTAATTCGGAAAGCTTTTCTGTGCTAGTTTTTATAGCACTAACAAACCTGCATATTGCGTTTGTTGATGCTATTGTCAGTTTTTGACTAAAATAATAAAAACCTGCAAAAAGGTATAAAAACAGGCAATTTTTCCCAAAAATCATAGTTTAAAAAATCGCATAACTAAGCCAAAAAATAATTCATTTTAATTCGGAAAGCTGTTCTATGCTAGTTCTTAGTAGATTAACAAAGCTGCATACTCAGTTTTCAAATTTAAAAATTCAATTTTGTGTCAAATTTTGACAATTTTAATGATGTAACCCCTTATAAAATTTTCAATTTTCGGAAAAATGTCAAAAAATTATTTTTTGACCGGACATGGCTAGAACGACTGGGCTGTTGATGCTGATCAAGAATATATATGGTTTATAGGGTCGGAAATGACTCCTTCATTACGTTTCAAGCTTCTGACTTAAATTGTATTCTTCAAAAAGGTATAAAAACAGACCATTTTTCTGAAAAATCAAAGTTTTTTCGGACATCATATTTAAGCCGAAATCGCATTGATTTTAATTCGGAAAGCTTTTCTGTGCTAGTTTTAATTGCACTAACAAACCTGCATACTGCGTTTGTTGATGCTCTTGTCAGTTTTTGACTAAAATAATAAAAACCTGCAAAAAGGTATAAAAACAGGCAATTTTTCCCAAAAATCATAGTTTAAGAAACGCATAACTAAGCCAAAAAATAATTACTTTTAATTCGGAAAGCTGTTCTATGCTAGTTTTTAGTAGATTAACAAAGCTGCATACTCAGTTTTCTTATTTAAAAAATTCAATTTTGTGTCAAATTTTGACAATTTTAATGATGTAACCCCTTATAAAATTTTCAATTTTCGGAAATATGTCAAAAATTTATTTTTTGACCGGACATGGCTAGAACGACTGGGCTGTTGATGCTGATCAAGAATATATATGGTTTATAGGGTCGGAAATGACTCCTTCATTACGTTTCAAGCTTCTGCCTTTAATTATATTCTTCAAAAAGGTATAAAAACAGACCATTTTTCTTAAAAATCAAAGTTTTTTCGGACATCATATTTAAGCCGAAATCGCATTGATTTTAATTCGGAAAGCTTTTCTGTGCTAGTTTTTATTGCACTAACAAACCTGCATACTGCGTTTGTTGATGCTCTTGTCAGTTTTTGACTAAAATAATAAAAACCTGCAAAAAGGTATAAAAACAGGCAATTTTTCCCAAAAATCATAGTTTAAGAAACGCATAACTAAGCCAAAAAATAATTACTTTTAATTCGGAAAGCTGTTCTATGCTAGTTTTTAGTAGATTAACAAAGCTGCATACTCAGTTTTCTTATTTAAAAAATTAAATTTTGTGTCAAATTTTGATAATTTTAATGATGTAACCCCTTATAAAATTTTCAATTTTCGGAAATATGTCAAAAAT